GAAAAGGGACTGGTGCAGGAGAGTGGTTTTGACATGAACACAGATGCATCCCCTGTACCTCAGGCTGACCAAGCAGCCTGGGTGTCTGAAAAGTAGTTTAACAACTTGTACAACATGGACTCAGCCTGGAGAGCTGCTCTCATCCTCAACAGCCAGGCCTGCTCCGTAGCAGGCCTGTGTGAGGACTTCAGAGGTATCCTTCCCTGGGATCCTTACATGTGAACTTTGTATTTGTGAAATGGCCCTTTAAGTATATTTAATTTTTTTTGCCACTTATATTTATTGAAAGGCAAACAATATTTTCTTGGTCACAATATTTTTAATGGACTTCCTCTCAATGTTTATATACTCTTGTGTAATGACACTGATGCAGATGCCCTCTAGATTTCAGTCTACCTGTTAATACCTTTTTGGAACAAAGAAATTTTTATTGCTTTAAAAAGCTTTCACCACAAGGCAGGCAGATCCCTGAGTTCCAGGCCAGCCTCAGTGGAAAGTCACTAGGAAACCTCAAGGTTCTGTTGTAACTGCTGACAGAAAGATGCAAAGAAATGTATCCATAGATGCTGACATGGTGTGAGGTTTGGGAAGTAGCTAGAATGAAGAAGGTGTGTTGATAAATAAACCTTTGCAAAGGGGCTTGAGGAAAAAAAATTCATTGTGAAAAATTAAAGAATGGTGTAGTTCACCTGGCACTTCCTACTCATGTCAACGAGGCCTTTAATAATGACTCCCCATCATTTTCCCATGATTGGTGTGTTTAAGTCTTAGCTTCCTGCTCCATTAAAGGGGGGTGGGATGGTTCAGAAAGGATTGGGCAGTGGTTAGGATGTTCTCCATGGTTTGAACAAACCCATGAAAACACTTCAGAGAAATTCTGTGCCATCTGGACATGTGGTATACCTATGATTTCACCACTCGGGACGCTGAAGCAGTATTTTAAGTTAAAGCTAGACATAGTGAGATACGTTTTTAAAAAACTGAACATCCATGGAAGAAAGTAGTATTTTCCTTGGAAAAAAAGAATAATTTTCTTTTTAGTACTGAGGATGAAACGAGGGTCTTTCTTACACACACACCTAGACAGGTTTTGCTGTCCTGAGATGAGAGGAGTTGGCAAGCACTGGAGTTTACAGCTGCATCCTTAGGATTGTCTGGGGACTGGAGGGCTCCGAATGCTAAGCACACACTGCAGCTGCCTTCCTGCATGCTTTTTTTTCTAAACCATAGAGCCTCTGTGGCTCATAGGACGCATCCTGTGCTTTCCTTCTGCATGTTTCAGTCATTGTGCTTAGGTCCTGAATTTGTGATCTGGTGCCTCAGTGCAGTTAGCTTTCATTCTCATACACAGGCTGTAAGCTGCATTCAGTGCTGGCATTCTTCCACTGTTTACGAAGTTGTTACGTAATACTCTTTTAAAACATTTCACTTGATAGGGATTGATCCTCAGACTCTGCCACAAAAGTGTGTTTCCACTGACCCACACTCCTAGCTTTCCCACATCCAATTTTTAGAATTATGTACATTGATGGAAAACAGTTCAGTTTAGCACTTTCTACCCTTAAGCATGTAACTATTTAATTGTTCAGGATACTTTCACATTCCTGTCTTCAGGTTTGTGTAAAACTATGTGATCCAAAGCCATAATCAGGTGGATGGCTGTGTGGACAATAGCACTTGCTCCTTTAGCAGAAGACAAGTTCTGCCCACAGCACCCACAGCAGGCGTCTCACAGCTGCCTGTAGTGCCAGCTCCAGGGATCTAACAGTCTGCGTGTTTTAGGCACTTGCACTCACATAAGTCCTAATAAAAATTAAAAAGCCACATCTCAGTACTTGTGAGGCTAAGTCAGGACTGTCATGAATTCAAGATTAACCTAGGCTATGCAGTGAGCTCCAGGCCAGCCTGAGTTGCAGAGGGAGCACCTGTGTTGTGATCCAATGTCCTAGGAGCCACACAACTGCCATTCTGGGGAGTTCGGCTGAGCCCCTTGCAAAAGAATAATCCCAGCTGGGCTTGTTGACTATTTGCATCCAGCCACAGGGGTGGAAAGGGGGTGAGAGGAGTCGTATGCAACTCTGCCTTAATTGCATGGGGCATCAGAATAGTTAGGCCTGGGAATAGTAGGGGAGGGGGCCTCTTATTCCTGCTAAGTAAAGACCTTCCAGATGCAGCTGGTTGGGTGGAGGCACTCATATTTCTGTAGGTAAACCCTCACCTGTTGAGGATTGTCTCAGCATGGGTGTGTGAGTTCATTTGGATCTGTGAAGATTCAGAGGCACCTTAAAGTATGAATCTAGCCTTTCTCAGCTGCAGGAGGGTCCAGCCTGTAAGGACTGAAGCACTTTCCCTTAGCCCAGGGCATTTTTATTTTCTATTAGCCAGTTAATCTCTGTATGCTCAAAACAACCTGAAAGGAACTCCCAAAGATAAAATGCCAAGTGTAAATTCCTTGATTTCTCAGGTACCATGGCTTTCTGGGTTTCCTGAATCAAGTTTTGCATAGGCCTTTGATCCTTGGGAGACTCTGACAAGATTCACATAGGGTGATAAGAGAAACAAAAGGTATGGATTAGGGCTAGGTGCTACTCTCTGGAGCCAGGCCAGGAGCAGCTCAGCAGGAACGCAGTCACACTCACCTAATGCTCTAAGAAAGTCCAAAACCTCATTCCACTCTACAGAGTGAACTTTAGTGGAATCATGCTGAGGGTTGTCACTGGGACCTTATGTGTCCTGGTTGGTCTTCTACACAAACTTAGAATTAACACAAGCTAGAGTCATCTAGGAAGAGGAACCTCCATTGAGAAAATGCCTCCATCAGATTGCCTATAGGCAAGTCTGCAGGGCATTTTCTTGATTAATGATTGATGTGGAAGGGCCCAGCTCACAGGGGCAGTACCACCCCAGGCAGGAGGAAAGCAAGCTATACAAGCCAGTTTTGCCATTGGCCTCAAGTTTCTGCCCTGATTTCTCTTCAATCTCAATCTATCAGACCTCTGAAACAATGGATCCCAAAGAAATTAATTTCTCCAGGAATCTCATGCTGGAAGAAGGAAAAGACACCAGTCAGGAGAACTTGTCTCCAGGAGAGATTTCAGAGTTCTAACAACTTGCTTATACCACAGAATGAGACTAAAGTCCAGATGATGGGTTGACCCAAACCAACAGGAATAAGGGCCTTGAACACCAAGGTCAGTTGAGTGGGAGGACCAGGGATGAGAAATAGAGGGGAAATAAAGACAAAAGCAGTAAGTAATAGCTGGGACCCTGGAGGTCTTCCAGAAGCTGATGATTTATATGCCATGTAAGTTTATTAAGAAGTACAGCATATTTGCGGGGGGTGGGGGGGAGGCTAAGCAGACAATGTTGACAGAAATCACAAGATACAGAAATCACAAGATACCGCAAACATAGCTACCTTAGGGCTGATAACCACAACCCAGAGAAGAGTTGGGTCGCCAGAAACTCCAAGGCACTGGCTCCAGCATTAGACAGGGTCTGCCAATTCTGTTCCTGGACAAGGATACAGAACTGACCTCTGTCTTTTCATCACGTCCTCTTAGAAAGTCTTGGTTTGGTCTGTGTAAGCATTGCATCGGATAAAAAAGTATCCTGGCAGTCTGGAGCCAAGGACTACCACAAAGTCACTTTAAACTTAGTTAGCAGTTTCCAGTTTTGCTCCAGGAAAAGGTTTCCCCAATATAACAACTCTGCCCCAGCAGGGGAGGGTTTCCCCAGGGAAATTGTTACAGTTTTTCTCAGATCCCCTGGAATTTGTAACAACTCTGCTCCCCTAGAGGAAGGACCTGCACAGCTCTGCTCTTGAGAAAGCCTCTCTGCTCTATCTAAATAAGGTCTGTAAGCATTCTGTACGGGATTCAAGAGATGTATTGGGAGAGAAGAATCCAGGAGAGTGGCTGCCTCTGCCAGAGTGTCAAAAGGCAGCTGCCAACTGAACAGGTACAGGGCTTATATAAGGCTTCTTGGGGTAGATTTTTTTTCCAGGGTGTAGATTTTCAGGGTGGGAATTGGTCGCATTTCAATCCCCAAGCTTGAACAAGCTCAGAGATTGGCTGGATTTTGTGCTCAGCGATTAGTTGTGTTTTGTGCTGTTTGGTCAGGGGCAGAGTGCGTTTCTTTCACTGGCCCTTTTTAACCTTTTGGCTCTGGTTTCAGGGCCAAAGTGTATTCTTTGGCTGGTCCTTTCACCCTACAGTCTGGCTCTCCCCAGTGGGTCAATAGTCTGGTTAGATGTGCATATCCTTTGCCTTCTATTTAAACTTTGACCTCATAAAGACAGACTTGATGTCCTAATGTGACCATATTGATTAAATCCCCCCTTTCTGCTTTCCACAGGCTCTTTAATTAATCAGCTGGCTTATTGAGGACGGGTGACTGGTCCTGACTTGGGGAACAGGTTGTGATCCCCAAGTTCAATAAACAGAACTTATTCCTGTGTTTTGGTATCTGTTACCAACCTTCCTTGTAAAAGCTATGTAATTAGAGTTAATGCTGGGAATGCAGGCCGAGGGAGACACTATGGCAGGATCAAAACTCTATCTTAGCCAGAACTTGACTTTGACTGTGGCTTTTATGCCTAGGTGGTGAAGGGCGAGGACGAAAACAGAGGTGGGGCCTCTGGTCTGAGAGCCAGGGCGGCCCTCTTTCTTCCGTGCCTTCCTTTCCGGGGCTACCCACCGCGGTGCCCGCGACTTCTGCGCTATGTTTGGCAGCTGAAGTAGGTGGACGTTAGTTAATTGAATACTTTTGCGAATCATCACGGCCCGAAGCAGGGGTGACTGCAAAGCGCTGGGATACCCTCCTGGCTCTCCTTTCTACGCCTCTACGCCCACGCCTCTGCTACATCTCCCCGCCTCCGACAACGTACCTACAGTTTGGACTACATCTCCCGTGATGCCCTGCGACCCAGAGGCTTTTCCATCGCCGCGGTCCCTCGACCCGGCAGTCTCCGCGGTGAGCAGGGGCGTGGCGCCCTCGATAGGCGGGGCATGACTCGGGGCGGGGCGGGGCGGCGGCCGCCTGCCTGGGCCTGGCAGCGGCCTAGGCGATGCCGCTGCTGGTGAACGGACGGCGAGTGCGGCTGCCGCTGTCGGCTGCAGAGCTGGTCCGAGCGCACCCGCCGCTGGAGGTGAGCGGGCTGCCCGGGCCTGCGGGCGGGTGGGCTCTCCGCAGCTTTCACTGGGGATCGGCAGAGACGTGGCCCAGAGAGGTTAGGTGACTTACAGAAGGTCGCACAGCACGCAGCGCGAGGAACACCGGGGCCCCCATCTACACTCGGCAGGCTCTACAGGTTGAGCGGCTCCCCGCATTACACAGTCCGGCTGCGGACAGGTGCAGGTGCGGGGTGGGGGGTGGGAGGAGCAGTCCTCTGCGAGCCCATTCCCGCCCCCTGCGGCGTGGGGCTCCTGGTTATTTTTAGCCAGAAGTAAGGGCTTCGCTTGGAAGTCACTGGGTCCGGGAGGACCGCACCCTGATGGATGGATGGGCTTTAGTTTCTTTCCTTGCGGGGACTTCTGAAAGAGGTCCCATGGTGAAGGCAGTGGTGACCAGATGCCCCACATGCTAGTCTGGAGTCTGCCCACCCATGGATCTCACATAGTGCAGTCTAGGAGGGGCCTGTTTCCTAATCAGAGCATCTTTAAAGACTCAGTTATTGCCTGAAAGATGTCCACTTTCACTCTCAGAGGTGAAGCCTGGGAGCCTGGAGTTAGGGAAGACATTCTAGAAGATTCCTCGGAGCAGCTGTGGGGGTTGTGTCCTGTCTGCTTACTTGCTGTTTTCCCTTGGATCTGTCTCCTGGAGCAAACGCTTCCTGAAGGCAGATGGCAGTGTGCTTACAAAATATTTGTTGGGTAAATGAATGGGCAGAATGGCCCTTGAGAACTACGGGGCAAGGAGACTGTGACTGTTAACTTGAATTTCAAGACAGACTGATCCTGCAAATCGGGCCAGGCACTGCCACAGGGTGGGTGAAGCCAGAAGTGATACTCATCAAATAAAAGTTTCACCCACCTCAAGGATTTTGGGGACTCTCTCCTATGTCTGTTTGAAAACTTCTAGTTTTGGTGGCCAGGACGCACATTGCCTGAGAAGGCAGAGATGAATGAGGTGATGTGGGGCGGTGCCTCTGGAAGCAAGGATTTTGGTCTGTTTAGGGAGACAGCCCAGAAGGGCTGCAGGGTGGAGAGGTGCCTGAGGAGAGAGAGGGCCATGAGAGGAGGCTGGAGTGTGGACTGCATCCCCAGTGATAGGGAAAGTTGTTCACTTTTCCTTAGGATAACGTGCTCTGTAGAGGGAAGTAGAAACTCGTGTCCTTGGTCACAGCCATTCTTCTCGTGGTTTTGGTGACTCCTCACAAGTGTTTTTGTTGTTTTTGGGACAGGGTCTCTCTACATACCCCCTGGCTGTCCTGGAACTTGGTATGTAGACCAGGCTGGCCACAAACTCAGAGCTCCTCCTGCTTCTGTCCCCCCAGCTTTATTTATTTGCTAGGTAATCCACTGTTTAAAAAGATTTGAGACAGGGTCTTACTGTGTAGCCCTGGCTGGCCTGGAACTCGCTGTGTAGGCCTGCCTCAGGCTCACAGAGTTCTTTCCCCTGCCTCCCAAATGCTAGCATTAAAGGTGTGCACACCACACCTGATTTTTTATTAATCTGTACACTCTGTGTATTTGTGTGAATGTATGTGCACATAGGTATGGGTGCATGTGTATACACAAGGAGGCCAGAAAGTGGCATCCAGTGTCTCCTCTCCATTCAGTGCAATTCCTTTGAGGCAGGGTCTCTCCCTCTATATGCTGTCAGTGGTTCTCTTGTCTACCCACCTCAGAGTTGGGGTTACAGGCATGTGTGGGAATCCTGGCTTGTGAATGTTGGCACCTAACCTCTGGTAGATTTCTCAGCAAACAGTTTTAACTACTGACCATCTCTGTAGCATCTTGTCTCCTCCTATCCCCCCCCCCTTTTTTTTTCTTTTGAGAAAGAGAGACAGAGACAGACAGACAGGCTGGCCTGGAACTTGAATGGTCTTGGATGCCTGAGACCTCCTGCTTCAGCAATACCGTGATTAGAGATGTTATCCAATGTGCCCATCATGATATACTTTTTGAATGACAGATATTATATATTAAATATGCCTATCATGATACTCTTTTTGAATGACAGATATTATATATTATATATGCCCATCATGATGCACTTTTTGAATGACAGATATTATATATTGGGCTTTTTTTCCCCCTTGGTCTTTCGATACAGGGTTTCTCTGTGTAGCCGCCCTGGCTGTCTTGGAACTCAAGTTTGTAGACCAGGCTGGCCTTGAACACAGAGACCTGCCTACCTCTGTCTCCCAAGTGTTGGGATTAAAGGCCTGCACTACCATGCCTGGCTTCCTGTGTGTATTTCATGTGTCAGTATTTTTTTTTGTTTTGTTTTGTTTTTCGAGACAGGGTTTCTCTGTGTAGTTTTGGTGCCTTTCCTGGAGCTCGCGCTGTAGCCCAGGCTGGCCTCGAACTCACAGAGATCCGCCTGCCTCTGCTTCCCGAGTGCTGAGATTAAAGGCGTGCGCCACCACTGCCCGGCTCATGTGTCAGTATTTTGTAAGTGCACATCACCATCAGGTAATAAGCCTGATTAGTATCTTCCCCGAACCCCTATTCTTTCTGCAGTTACACTTCCTTGGGCAACCACAGTCTGAACATTTTAAGTGGAAAATTCCAGAACACTCACTGATACTGTCCCCTCCCACCCCCTGCTTTCTATTTTGAAAGAAGGTCTCACTGTAGCTCAGGCTGATCACCAACTCATGATCTTTGCAGCCTCCCAGGCTGGGATCACAGGCATGTGCCACCATGCTGGCTAAGAAATACTCGTCATTATAGATGTTACTAGGGCAATCCCATACTGTTACCGTTAACCTGCTTCCCCATGTTCACGCACCAGCATGTCTGGGTTTAATGCTGACTGGTTTCAGGTACCCACTGGCCAGCCACAGTGGAACTGGCCCCACACTGTGCTTGACAGGATGAATACCTTTGCTCTTATTTTCTAGATTGAGGGCTGTGAGGGTCAGTCACACAGCGGTGGTTTGAGTGAGAATGGCCCCATAGGTTCATAGGTTTGATGCTTGGTCTCTAGTTAGTAGAACTTAGATGTGTCCTTATTGGAGGAGGTGTGTCACTGGGGGTGAGCATTGAGGTTTCAAAAGCCCGAGCCAGACCCAGTCTCTCTCTCTCTCTCTCTCTCTCTCTCTCTCTCTCTCTCTCTCTCTCTCTCTCTCTCTCTCCCTGATCAGGATGTAAAGATCTCAGCTACTGCTCCAGCACTATGCCTGTCTGCTTCCCTCCATGGACTAACGCTCTAAAATTGTAAGCAAGGCCTCAATTAAATGCTTTAAAAAAAAAAGAAGAGTTGCATCGGCACAGCGTCTCTTGACAGCAGTAGACCAGTAGACCCTGCACCAGGGCCCACGCTTAGAGGAAGTCAAGGTGAAACCCTGCTGTCTTCCCTCACTTTGGATGTTGTGTAATAATTCAGTACAACAGCCACTGCAACATGGGGCACCCCTGTAGGTGCTAGCGGTCAGGAGGCTGAGGCAGGACATTTGGGGACTTGAAGCAGTCTTGGACTACATAGTATGTTCCGTGGTAGACAATAGTGAGAAACGAGACTACTGGGGTCAGTGATCTTGAGTAAACCTGCTGGGTTTAGATTTGTCTGTGCTGTACTGGGGTGGAGCCCAGGATGTCCCACTCTGCGCTCCTGCTGCTGAGCCACACCCAGACTTCTTGCTAGTGATTTGGTACACACCCCATGCTTCACAGTGCAGCAGGCACTTCCTCACTCATGTGCCCTTGGAGGAGAAAGGTGAACTGGAGGAGAAGGGCGAGGGGTGTGGGCTAGCCCCTAAAGTTGCAGATAAGTATTTTCCTTTTCTCCCTGGCCCTATGCAGGGACAGAGCCCAGGGCTTCACACAGGCTAGACAAGTGCCTGCTTCTGAGATACCTCTAGCCCTTGTCTTAGGTGGTTAGAAAAAGTAAAAGGAATAATAATATTTTATCACAGTAAATCACATGAATTCAAACTTGCATATCACCTATCACATTTTATTAGAACACAGCCATATCCATGTGCTCCTCTGGCTGTTTTCACTACACAGTGGCAGAGACCTTTAGGCTTGTCATCTGGTCTGAGAGAAAAATCTGCAGACCTCCAGCAAAGAAAGCAATGCCATTCGGTAGGTCTTGGGAAAGGCAGTTAAAGGACTGAGTGCACATGAATTAAATGCTGAGAAATAGGAGACACTGTGACAACTGGGCCACTATTACTTTAGGAATATGGGATGGGGAGCTTGGCTTAGTAGACCACACGCCTGCTGGGGAGGCACAGGGACCTGGGCACGGAGCCCAGGACCCACATAAAGGCTTTAGGGTGCTTATGTAATCCCAGTGCTGAGGGGTGGAGTACTGTGGATCCCAGGTGCTGGGTGGCCAGCCAGTCTAGCCAAAATAGTGAGCTCCAGGTTCAGTGAGAGAGCCTGTCTCAAAGGCAGGGCCATCGAGATGGCTCATTCGGTAAAGGTGCTTGCTGCCAAGCTTGATGACCTGAGTTCAGTCTCTGGAACATACATGGTGGAGGAGAAAACTAACTTCTAAGGGTTGCCATCTGGCCTCCACATGCATGCCATGTATGTGGCACCACACACATGCATATATATGCTCATTCATGCATGCATACACACACACACACACACACACACACACACACACACACACACACGACAAAAATGAAATTAAAAACAAGGTACAGAGTAACAGGAATTCATGACATTGACCTCTGGCTTCCAGGTATACATACATGCACCTCACACATACACCTTTCTCACTCATGCACACCACACTCATGCACTACATGGCGCCTGTATCTCTTTGTTCCTCTTAGGCACACAAATATGATGAAGTGAGGCTTCATTCAGGAACAGCTTTTACCAAGTGGAAGGAGAGCAGGCTAGCCACTGTCCTGTGCTGTGGCATTTCTGGTTGCCTTTGCTTTCGTTTCTTGTGTTAGTTTTGAAATGGTAACTTGTTCTCACACACCACTTTTCTCATTAGTGGTGAGCCAGTTATGAACATGGTAAAAATCTGCCTTAATTCCTCCCCAAGGGAGGTCAGTAAAGGAACTGTAAAGAGGGGACAAGTGTCTGGTGTTCCACCTGGCTGGGGTGTGATGAAATCTGAGATTGGAGATGTTCTTGATTTACTCCAGGTTATACAGCCAGTCTGAACTTACGAGGTTTCCAACAGTTTGATTTGTTATCTTTTTCTTTCCTGTGTCCCATTCTGATCTTGTTGGAGATTGAATTCTGAATCCATAACCTCCTAGTTCAGTTCTTTTTTTTTTTTTTTTTTTTTTTTTTTTTTAAAGATTTATTTATTTATTATGTATACAGAAGAGGGCACCAGATCTCATTACAGATGGTTGTGAGCCACCATGTGGTTGCTGGGAATTGAACTCAGGACCTCTGGAAGAGCAGTCAGTGCTCTTAACCTCTGAGCCATCTCTCCAGCCCTAGTTCAGTTCTTAAATTGAAGGGCATATCCTCTTTTAATTATTTCCTAGCATTCAGACAATGGGAATTCATTAAAAGAAGATAGTGCTTAACATGTCTTGGATTTTATTAAGTAATTAGACACAAACTTACATTAGCCAGGCATGAGAAATGGTAAGAAGTTGATACAAGACCAAAGCAGGTGTGGGGACATTGACAGATGACTGTGCTTGCTTGCTGGGGAATTGGTGGCAAGTTGGAAGGAAGGTAGAATTCATTTTAATAGTGTGTCAGCTCACCCCACGTGAGTCTGCATGCCCAGGCTGGGATTGTAAGCATGTAAGCATTTCCTTCCATGCCCAGCCAGCTTTGCCTTTGAGACAGCCTCCCTGTAATGCACACCTGTAAGCACAGCACTCAGGAGGTAGAGTGGATGGTTTTAGGACAGCCTGAATTACTTTGTCTCAGACTCTTGAAGAACTATGATGTCTCTTTTCTGGGTATTGGGATCTTGTGTCATATGTACTCTCCTAGTCAGAGAGAATGTTCCTGCTGTCTTTCTTCACCAGCCTTCAGTAGCCAGTATAGCACGGTTCAGACATGCCAGCCTGCTTCCTACTTCTGAGTACACATCGGCTCTTTCCACCTCTCCAGGTCAAGCCTCACTAATTCATACAACTATTTTATTCTGTTTCAATTAAACAGGAAAGAGCCAGACTTCTCAGAGGTCAGTCTGTTCAACAAGTGGGACCCCAGGGCCTTCTGTATGTTCAGCAAAGAGAGCTTGCAGTGACCTCCCCAAAGGATGGTAGGTTAGGAAGCAGTGTGTTGGGCCTTATCCCAAAGCCTACTGGCTATTTTATGTTATTTCCTTTTTAAACAGGCTCCATCTCCATTCTGGGTTCTGATGATGCCACTACTTGTCACATTGTGGTCCTGAGGCATACAGGTATGATGACAGAGATGAAGGAAACCATTTGTTAAACTATCCCAACCATGTGGGACCACTGATTTTCTCAGTTTGAGTTTCCTGGTGTAGAATATGAAGCCATGTCTTATCTGCATGATGTCTCCCTGGTGCCCTGGTCAGATGGGTTGGCTGTGCAGCATGGACCCTTTCAGTTTTCTTACAGGGTGTCTAAAGATGAGGTGGTCTACATGGCTTGCTTCCTGAAATATAAGGACTAACTCATTTTACCCTTGTTCTCCAGGTAATGGGGCAACCTGCCTCACACATTGTGATGGAACTGATACCAAAGCTGAAGTCCCCTTGATAATGAGCTCCATAAAATCCTTTTCTGACCACACTCAGTGTGGAAGGTAAGTTCCTGTGCTTGTACACCTTGATCATGGGTGGTGTCCACACTTGGATGGATGGAGTGATGGAGGGTCAAGCCAGTACTGGACTTTTTGTTGGACAGGGAGGGCCTGACTATGTAGTCTTGCCTCTGATTCCCTAGTGCTCGGATTAGGGGATGAGACAACATGTCAGGCTTCTGTGCTGAATTTTAAATTGAGTTTGATTTTGAACTTGTGTAAAGTTGGGATCTTTGAATCTCAGATATTAATTTGTTATGGCCCAGACAGAAGGTGTTTTTGTGAGCAGTCACTTGTTCTAGGGTCTAGAGTAGGCAGTGCTCATACTCTGAAGCAGGCAGGTCAGGAATTATGTGGGAAAGACTGGAGGAGGAGGCAGGGTCAGCAGTGACCATATCACACAACTCAGCAAGCTGAGTTTGAGCATGGGTGTACAGTAAGAACCAACCCAGACTGGCTGTGGCTCAGCATTTCATCCTTACCCTGTGACACATGGTCGTGTATCGGAGCCACACAGCTAGTTAAGTTCTGGCCTGTGACCCAGGCCTGGCTGTCACTTGCTCACATGACTGGCCCTGCATTACACTTGGCTCTTATTTTCTTGGTAGCCTTTGAAGGAACTAGTACAGTCATATACAGGTGCTTAGAATCTCAGAGACACTATTGGTCAACTTTATTTGTGCCTCAAAGCCAAGATCCTTTTAGGTGGAGGTGCTGAAAAGTTCGAGAGTATTCTGTGTGGGTGGCCAGGTGACACTGCACTGAGAACCTTGGATGAGGTCCTGATAGCCTTGCTGCTGGCCTTGGCAACCTCACATGCACCCCATTGTGCCCACAAGTATTTTCATTATATGCTGTGGAAAAGGTCCAGAAGCATGCTGTGGAAGTTCATGGGAGCCAGGACTAAATATCCATGAAAGCAGCATTTAGTCGTGTCTTGTCCTAACTCTGATCATGTCCCTCTCTTGGCAGGCTGGAAGTGCACCTTGTAGGAGGCTTCAGTGATGATAGGCAGCTGTCACAGAAACTTACTCATCAGCTTCTTAGTAAGTTTGCCAGCTGCCCCCCCCCCCCAATATTATACCTAGTTTTGTTTGGTTTAAACAACAACAGAAAAGGAGCCGGGCAGTGGTGGTGGTGCACGCCTTTAATCCCAACACTCAGGAGGCAGAGGCAGACGGATCTCCAAGTTTGAGGCCAGCCTGGTCTACGGAGTGAGTTCCAGGACAGCCAAGGCTACACAGAGAAACCCTGTCTCAAAAAAAAAAAAAAAAAACACCAAAAATAAACAAACAAACAAATAAATAAATAAAGCTCTCTAGCAGTCAGATAAGGCAGAGGCAGAAGGACCATGAGTCTGAGACCAGCTTGGGATACATGTGAAAATCTGTCTCAAAACAAAACAAAGCCTGGGGTTGTAGGCCATGTGGATGGAACTATACAGACTGTACAGAGAGTGCAGCACTAAATTCCCAGGTGCTGGTGGGATGGGGACAAGGCCTCCCCATTTTGACAGGGCCATGGTGTTGAAGCCCCAGCTGGCTGTGGCCTCGTGATCATTGTGCCTCAGCTGAGTGAAAGAATTACAAGCCTGTGTCAGAGATGCTCTTTTAAAACAGCAGTTGGTAAATTCTTGGAGAGTACATACTCTGAGCTGTATAGCTGTACAGAAGCGTTCTTTGTAATCTTCAGAAAATGAAAATGGTCTTTTAGCCCTTTCTACTAAATCAGGAGAGACAGACGTGGTGTGCATTAATTGTGAAATAGGTGTACGCTAATGCCATACCTGCACTGGAGCAGCCTGCCAGCTAGGACACTGGCACTGTGGCTTAAGCCTTGTAAAGGTTCACATCCTTTGACTCAGTAATTCCCCTTCTTGGAATCCATTCTAAGAAAGTCATCTAAGGTCGCACAGAGAGGCTGACAAGATGGCTCACTGGGTAAAGGCACTTCCCACCAAGCCTGAACAAGTTTGGTCTTTGGGACTCACACGATGGAAGCAGAAATATGACTCTTGTAAGTTGTCCTCTGATCTCCCCATGTGCTTCACGGCAATACATGCGCATGCACACACAGTAAGAAAATGTAAAAAACCAAATCCTCCAACAGAGATTCCGACCCAAAGATGAGCAATCCCCAGTTGTCCTGAGAAGAGTTACAAAGCTTCCAGAAGCTGTTACCTGCTGAACCAGGTCTGGAGGTCCATGCTTGCAGCTCAGCAGTTGGAAAGAGACTGAGGCGGAGGGTTGCCTGTTCCTAACCAGCCTGAGCTACACAGTGAGGCCAACAAAAAATGCATAACAAAAACCACTTGTGAATGTTCAGTGTGGTAGAATATATCTTTAATTCTAGCACTTCAGGAGGCTGGGGCAGGTGGATCTGAGTTCAGGGCAGCCTGGTGAGACTGTGTCTCAAACAAACTTTACTAAGAAGTGTTAACTGCATGGGAAAAACCTATGTCTAACAAAACAGTCAGGGCATAAAGTTACGTGGTGTTATTGGAGCATCACTGTCTCTGTTAGGAGCTCAGCCGTGCACAGAAACTAAAAGCTAACCTACAGTGGGGTGACGGGCATTCAGAACCTACTCTCTTCTGTTCCCTTGTCCAAAAACATTCACAAAATTTTTGCTCTGGTGACTGGGCTCAGTGGTTAAGAGCACTGGCTGCTCTTGCAGAGGACCCAGGTTCAATACCCAGCACTTACATTACCACAACTCTCCTGTAACACCAGTTCCAGGGGATCCTGTAACAACCATTCATATGGCACACATACAGTGCAGCCAAAACATCTATACACACAAATATTTTTGCCCTAATAGACTTGAGAAGAGCCGGTCTCCTCTTAGGACTCCACCTGATGTGGGTGCTGGGACCTGAACACATGTCCTCTGCAAGAGCAGAGTAAATGCTTTTAACCACTGAGTCATCTCTCAAACCCCTGAGGCTTTTCCCTATTAGCCTGTATTAATTACATATAACAGATTTCATCTTATTTTTCATTTAGTGCATGTAGACACTTAGGGCACATGTATACCATATAGCTTGAGTATGTTAGTCAGGACAACTTGTGGGAGTGGGTTTTCTCCTTCCACATGTGGGTCCAAGGGATTGAACACAGGTTCCAAGTACCTCTACAGATTGAGTCTTCTTGCTGGCATACCCTCAACTCTCCCCCTCCACCACTACTATTTTTTTTTTTTTTTTTTGAGACAGGATCTCATGTAGCACAGACGGGCTTTGAACTTGAATGTGCCACCATGCCTGTTTCTGTAGTGCTAGGGGTTAAACCCATAGCCTTGAGTATGCTAGAGCATGCTAGGCAATTACAATATCAGCTGAACTATAGCCCCAGCCCCTAATAGGATGTTTTTATGCATATATGTAATATATTTTGATCGCATTCACAGAGCCCTGTTACTCATTCTTGGGTACTTTTTTGACATCAATTTTGAAATTCTAATTGTAGGTGAATTTGACAAACAAGATGATGACATTCACTTAGTGACATTATGTGTGACAGGTGAGTTCTGCTGCTTTCACCCAAACCAGGGGTATAAGGGTTCAGGAAAGTTTTGTCTGTACCCTTACAACAGCTACCATTAGGATAGGAATTGTAGAAGACAGTCCACAGAGACTGTCACCTCTGGATGACTTGTCTCCACTACTCCTTATCTCTAGGTAGCCTTCTCAACACCAGGTCCTACCCAACTAATGCTGCTTCTCCAAAGGCCCTGATATCAGAGGCTTCTCTGTGCTCCTGGGAGGGGAGAGCGCTGGTGAGCTGCCCTTGTGTGGCAGAGGCAGGGTTAGGCCTGTTAGTGGCCCACCTGGGGCTTTGTATTGAGTTTTTCCTTCACATGGAATAAGAACAACTGTTTAGCAGTTCTACTTTCCTTCATTTCTTAGAATTAAATGACCGGGAAGAAAATGAAAACCACTTTCCAATCATTTATGGCATTGGTAAGTAGTATTTGTATTAGAGGGCTTCATGGTTCCCATGTGGGTTAGAGCAGGCTGACTCAGGTTAAAGGTCTGAGTGTGTAGTCATTCCATCTGTACTACTGTTGTTGGGTTTGGATCCTTGCTCCTATACATTTACTGTTAAACCCTGGGCAAGGGGCCTGACCTGACTAACCTCTAGCTGTGAGGTGTTAATGTCCTAACGATAACGTGTGGAGAGAAACAGTCAGTGTACCACATAGGTTATGCCCACCTCAGCTGTGCAGCTTAGTGTCACATGGGTGGGTAGTCTGGCATGTTTTTCTCTAGCCAGTGCTCAGGGGGAAGGCATGAGGCATTTGGATCTCTGTATACTATGGGAATGGAGTAAAGTTTTGATTTAGAATGAAGATCCCACAAAACCAAGTTCAGAACTGTCAAACTAAAGGAAGCCCAGGGCCTTCCTCTCTCTAGTCCTGAGGCTAGCAAATTGCAGAGGGCTTCTGGTGTGTGTTCATGATATTTAGGTAGGTGGGTGATAAAAGACACTGGCACTCCTTATTTTATTCTGTGTCACTTTGCGTAGCCCTAAATAGGGCACAGCTTTTCACTAGTGTTTGTGGTCATAGCAAAGCTTTGACTACACATGCCCTGAGGGCAGAGTGCCTCAGGGGCTGTTCCCCGTTGCTACAGAGGCACCTCAGTTGTCTCTTCAGATTCCATTCTTTTCTGATTCTGGTTCTTATGTGTAGTGTTGGAAATGGTGAAGTCTGTTTTGGATCTTTGCCGATTTAGAGTCATTCCCTATCTGTTGCAGCTGTCAACATTAAAACTGCAGAGATTTACAGAGCTTCCTTTCAAGATCGTGGTCCAGAGGAACAGCTTCGTGCTGCAAGAGCTTTAGCAGGAGGCCCGGTGAGTAGGAGCCCATCTTTGTGGGGTGAGGAGAGGGGGAACCCTAAGAGCCTCAAGTTTTTAGAGTGGAGGAAAGTTGTGGCTACCTCCTTACCAGGAACCAGCTCACTTCCTTATGGGTTAGAGGAATAAAGAGTGAGTTTAGTTTCTAAGTGCGAGATACTAGTTAGTTCTCTGCCTGAAAGATGGAGGTGTTGGTAAGAGCCTGGATCTGTGGACAAAGGGGGACCTCTTCCCATTAACCTTCCATAGTGAGGACTGGAGAGAGGGGGAGTGACAAGATGCTGCATTGTCCACACTTTGGCTCCAGTCACCAAAGAGTAGTTTGGTGAGTCACTCCAAAAAATTATTGAATAGGTCAGTTTAAAAGTTTAATTTTCAGCCGGGTGGTGGTGGCACCCGCCTTTAATCCCAGCACTCGGGAGACAGAGGCAGGCGGATCTCTGTGAGTTCGAGGCCAGCCTGGGCTACAGAGTAAGTTCCAGGAAAGGCGCAAAGCTACACAAACCCTGTCTGGAAAAAACAAAACAAAAAAACAAAAAACCCTAAAGTTTAATTTTCTAGCTGGGCAGTGATGGCACACATCTTTAATCCCAGCACTCTGGAGGCAGAGGCAAGCAGATCTCTGTGAGTTCAAGGCCAGTCTGGTCTACAAACCTCCCTCCCAGTTTAATTTCCTTAAGGTACTGTATTTTTCCTTATTTTTTTGGTAGTGCTGTGGATGGAATAGAGGCATTTGCTAGGAAAACTTTCTGCTACTGAGCACTTCTAGCCTAGGCCCTTTTTATTTTCAGACAAGACCTTGTTATGTAACCTAGCCTCAACATTTCCCAGGGCTGGGATTACACAAGTATACAACTGTATCCTAGTCTCTATGATGTTTTTTAATTAATTTAAAAGAAGACTTATTAATCCCATTTGAGGAACAGGTAGAATGTAAAAATGCCCAGTGTAAGCCTGGCACGATGGCATACATTTTTAATCCAAGCACTTGGGAGACAGGTGGATTGCTGTGAGGTACAGGCCAGTCTGGGCTTATGCAGCTTTTTAATAATGCCAAACAGGCTCTGAGGAGATGGCTTGCTATATAAGCATGATCCACAGCACTGACATGAGAAGCTAGGCATGCTGGGCATGCTTCCAGGCCCAGTGCTGGGGAGAAAGAGGCTGACTCTTAGGGTTTGCTGAGTCTGGAGCTCCAGCTTTAGTGGAAGACCCTGTCTCAGGTCACAAAAGCAACTGAAGACATGGGACATGGCTCTCTGGCTTCACATAGGTGCCAGCAGGCCCCGAATCAGCTTTGTTTGTGCAGCACTAACATTGCAGTAAGAAGATGTCTGGGGTTAAAGAGATCTGCTCTGCCAGTCTTTTACCATTTTCAGGAGTCCTAATTTTGTCTTTTAAAAAATGTTGTGTTTCATATGGTCTTGCTATGTATGTAGCCTAGGGTGTCTTAGAACTTGTGGCAAGCATCCTATATCAATGTCCACCAATTACCATGATCAGCTTGGTGGTTTTTTCTTTTTCTTTTTTGAGACAGAGGGTCACATTGCAGCCCAGGCTGGCCTGGAACTTACTTTAGGATTCCTTTTGTTGTTTAGTTAATAGACATATTTCAGACTGAGTACCCCTCTCAGAGCTGAAAATTACCACTGGCATAATTTGGGAATTCAAGGAATTGTCTGTTGGCAAATCAGCTTCTACAGAGCCAGTTGTGGTGGTGCACACATCCCTGTGACCCCAGATTGGGATGTGTGGCAGGATTTCAAACACTCTTGACTGTGGATTGAGTCCAAGGCCAGCCCAGGCTACATGAGACCTCAAAAATAAAACCAGGTGAGGTGTGGTGCTATACACTTTTAAAGCAGGCAGATCTCTAAGAGTTTGAGGCCAGCCAGGTCTACCACAGCCAGACCCTGTCTCAAAAACAAACAAACAAACAAAACTAAAAAACTCCTAACCTTTCTTTTATGCTTTTTGTGAGACAAGGTCTCATTGTCATCCAGGCTGTCCTGGAACCCAAGGTGATCTTCCTACCTCAGCCTCCTGAGTGTTGGATGGCAGGTGTGAGCTGTCATACCTGGGCATCAGGCATTAGGAGCTGTTTATGTTGCACGATGACTAGCTGCTTGGGGTATGAGTGAGGAGGTGTGGTATTTGTGCAGCCATGAGGGGTACAGGCTTTAGTCAGACCTGCTTATCTTTGAGGCACTGCTGATGCTCACTGGATATGTGACTTGGGACTATTCTCACTGTCAGCTTCCCCTTAGAAGGGCAGAATGCTGTCTTCTTGTAGGCTTGCCATCAAAACTAAACACAGCAATACCCAGGACCAAACACAGGAAAGGCATTTGGTGGTGGCAGCTTTGTTATTATGGGAGGTTCGCAGTTTATTGGCTAATGGAACAGCCTTGGAACTAGACTACAGCAGTGGTAGGGCAGTGTCCTTACAGCCTGTCATGGAAATGGTTCTTTTAGATGATTAGCATTTATGATGCAAAGACAGAACAACTTCGAATAGGCCCGTATTCCTGGACGCCATTTCCACATGTGGATTTCTGGTTGCAGCAAGATGACAAGCAAATACTAGAGGTGAGAATTTACAGGTTGGCTAAATCCTAAATCTCTGGACCCTGGTTTCCCCATCTGTAAGAAAAAAAAAGGTTTAGACCAGCTAATAGCTGCTTCTCCTTCAGTGGGTGAGACTGACATTCTATTGTCATTGGCAGACGCTTAACTTTTATGGCAGTGGGGGATTAGTAACTTCCTGGTAGATGTTTACAGGTGAAGCAGTAAGTAGTGAAATGTGTGTAACAGATGTACAGAGGCGCTGACACTGAGACTAGCCCGGTGAATGTGTATGTGGCCCAAAGCTACTCTGACATTGTCATCTAAGCCGGGAAGGTGTACAGTCTGGCCCTGCTCATGTCCACTGTCTTGTCTTTTCAGAACCTTTCTACTTCTCCTCTGGCTGAGCCCCCCCACTTTGTTGAACATATTAGATCTACCTTGATGTTTTTAAAAAAATTCCCATCTCCAGCAAATATACTGTTTCCTGGAAATAAAGCTCTCCTCTACAAAAAAAATGAAGATGGCTTATGGGAAAAGATCTCTCCAGGGAGCTAACATCCAAGTTACCAAAGAACACAGCCCTTTGGCCTGCTAGAGACCACTGGTGGTTTGGAATCTACACCTGTGCAGTTTGACTTCTTCCTTGCTTACTATCTTTCAAAATAAAATCTTATTTTGGCAAAGGCATTTGTTTAGATGATTTTTTGCTCTACTACAAAGAATTTTCACCAATCATGAGGGATGGAGGAGAAACCATTGGCCTTGCTGGTGAGTAGGCAGTAACTTTAGAGACAGGTTGGTCAGGAAAAACTCTCTGTTCAAAAGTTACTCTTAGAAACTTCCTATCAGAGGCTGAGGTGGTACAAGCCTTTAATCCCAGCACTTGGAGGCAGAGGCAGGTAGATCTCTGACTTCAAGGCCAGCCTGGTCTACAGAGTGAATTCCAGAACAGCCAGGGCTACACAGAGAAACCCTGTCTTGAAAAACAAACAAACCAAAAAAAAAAAAGAAAAGAAAAGAAAAGAAACTTCCTATCTGTTTGGAAAGAAACAGTTGAGCTTATTACCTTCCTCAGAGACAAGGTCCTGGGAGGCCAAATTCAATACATATGATGCTACTAAGATGCCCAATTAGGGTTATGGAAGTTATTTTTTTAAGAACGTTTATGTTATCTGATGAAAAGTAAGATTTATACCGAGTTCACAGGTAGCAATTTCAAGAGCCTTTATTTAAGCCAACATCAGATAGTGTCTCAAGGTAAAATTCTGTTGCAGCAAAACCAGGTAACAATTCCAAATGTATAAAAACATTGAAAAATCAATCAGTTCAAGGTGATAATTTACCCCTCCCCATGTCACCTGCTATACTTCATTGCATCAAATGAACAGGGAAGACTATATTTAATCATTTGCACCAAAAAAATGGAAAGATTGCATCTTGACAAGTGGCAACTGTCAAAAATCACATCAAATCAGTGTAATTATAGGCTTAAAGTGGTATAACTAAGGCTTCCAACACTACAGTCCACAGGCCCACCATCTTAGCATCTTCCATTGTTTGACTTTTAGGGACTAAAAAGGCACGGGGTGGGGCATCTTAGGGCACTGCAGGTGATGCAGTACTTGGGAAATACAAATGGATGAGAATTAGGCAGCAAGCTCTGGCTTGTTAGCCCGAGAGAGGCAACCTCTCTGGTTCTTTCCTGAGTTGGGCCCAGGGTGAGGACAAGAGAAGCTGCAGCCACCTCATGAAAAGCAGGTCGAAGGCTTGCTTGCTGCAGCCTTCACCGTGCTGCACAGCAGACGACACTGGGCTCTTCATGGCGGCCTCCAGAGGGCTTTCTGTCCTGAACTGACACAAGCACAGGGCACACTGGGCACCAACTTAAAAGCATCACCAGTGTTTAAAAATAGACTTAAATATGGTCAGGAAGAGAGCTTATAGTTAGTTACTATTAACAGATGAGTCCTTAACTCTGTTTACAAAGAATGTGTAAAGGAGAAAAGGTGCAGCAGGGGACAGTCCTAGTGCCACAGCTCATGTGTGCACAGGCTTCAGGAAAGGCAGCAGAGGGTTCTGATACTCTCACTCGGGTCCTACTGAAACCCATTTCCTGATGCCAACCAGTGAGGCAGGCATCTACGACAACTTGACTGAACTACAGACCTAGTAGACAGAAGCATGGAGAAGAACCCAGAGAGTCACTGTATGCAGCCTAATCACGCTTAGGTTCAGAGAGAGAAGAGAGAACAGTGTTTCAAGTGGAAGGTGCTTGAAATCTACATGTTCTCTCAGCACAAAGTGTTTATGGTACAGGAAGGTTATGGTACATACCTTTCAGGTATGCCTAGGTTGGGCAGGCCAAAATAGTCAATTGGTGGTTGCTCAACTTACACATAAAGTAATTGCCCCCCACCCCCCAGAAAGCCTGGTTTTCCACCATTATCTGTGCAAAACTCCCAATTTAGCACAAATGGCAGAAATTTCTATCATATTAGCATGTGGCACAGTTCACATTTTCAATAAAACTTCATCTTTCCTGAAACAAGAGTCAATGCAGGCTCAAGCCCAGTATTACTGAGCTTTATCTTAAGCGCTCCAGTCCCTCTACCTGAGGGTGGTCATCTTCCGGATGCTGGGCCTTGTTCTGCAGGGCCTCAGTCTGTCTGGCCATGGGGGCAGGAACACTTGGGGCCTGCTCAGGGCAGTGGGCCTCTAGGTTGCTGTGCTCGGGCCCACCGGACAGCTGTTCCACCTTTTCGAGGTCTTCAATGTGGCTGACTGAGCTGGTCTCACTCACAGCATCCGAGCCTCTCAGGGACCTTTTAAAAGGTTTCTGGCCTAGAGAGACAAGATGAACTATGCTGAGGCTGGTGGGGGGACATCTTGTAACAAAGGTGCCGTGGTCCTGCATGGTCACTGATTTGGCAGGAATGCTGGAATTCTGGCTTGCGTCTTAGAGGTGAAGCGGGAACTAAAGAGCATTGTGACACTGTACTGCTCCCCAGGCCAGTGCTTCTGTGGTGCCCCTAGCGGGAGGGAAGTGCCTTTGTTAAAGCAATGCTTGCCTTAGGAGTGCCATGGAGCTAAATCTCAGGTGCCTGAACGGTTGTTTCAGTGAAGGGAATGGAGTTTTGGATTAAAGAAAGGAACATAAGGAACAACAAATAGAAGTGGTTTTCTTCTGTTAATGAAGGTGAACTGTGGAGAGGTTTAACCCACCTGGAAGTCGCTGTTTGCTTCGAGTGCCTGAGGGTGTAGGAGGTGGCGTCACTCCTGTACCTTGTACTTTGTAGACATATGTGTGTTCTGTGGACTCCAGAGAACCTGTCAGGAAAAAAAAAGTGGCAGGAGCTCCTGACATAGCCATCCTGAGATGTCACTTGCCCTCAACTGGCTTTGTATCTTAATCAGCATAGAGCCACTATTTAGCTTCCCATGGACTGAACTGGAGCAAAACTACCCTGCAGTTGCTCACATCTCTCTACAAGCTCCTTGCTCCTGGGAACGCTCCATCAGTGTATGCAGTGTGCCGGGACCCATACCCAGCTGCAAAATGCACTTTAGCAATGAGCAGATGCTCCTGTTAAAGGCTGAGGTCTGACAGATAAAACGTTCCTTGTTTGTGGTGTTTTGAGACAGTCTCATAAAACCCTGATCCTTCAGCTTCAGCCTCCTAGATGCTAAGATGATATCCTTCTGCCACCACATCAGGAAACTCTTATGATCTTTTGCTATCTTGAGAATCTAGCTATTATTTTCTGGAGAAGGAACAAAGGAAGAAACATCAAGTTTTGAGAGTATTTCTTTGGTAGGACAGGAAAGGAGTCACAGCTGTTAGCATCTCCCAGCAAGTTGCCAACAGTTGACTGCCAGTCACTGGTTTAAAATAAATACTGTGTGCTACAATCTTTAGGTTCCCCTTTCAGAAGGAGCCCTATCCTGCACAAAATACTCAGGACTACTGTGGGAAACAATAGTCCTTATGCCAGTGTCCACACTGCATTGTCCCCAGATGAGGGCCAGTTGGATAGGCATGTCCTTGTTCCAAGGAAGACAATGTGCATGCTGTAGAGTGGCTGCTTGCTTTCTGACGGTTTCAGCAGAGGCTGGGGGAGATGATATGGCAGTAGGGGCAGACTGCCTCACTTCAGATTCCTGGCAGAGAATCGGGGAGGTAAAAAAGCATGACAGGTTCTAGGAGGGAAAGGCAACTGGTCAAAACTTTGAAATAGCCGGGCGGTGGTGGCGCACGCCTTTAATCCCAGCACTCGGGAGGCAGAGGCCGGCGGATCTCTGTGAGTTCGAGGCCAGCCTGGGCTACCAAGTGAGTTCCAGGAAAGGCGCAAAGCTACACAGAGAAACCCTGTCTCGAAAAACCAAAAAAAAAAAAAAAAAAAAAAAAACTTTGAAATAACAGATCTAGGCACAGGCCAGTTGGAAGTCCTACCTGCTGTTAAGTTAAAACTTCTTCCCTTTTGTGAAGCTTGGACTGGAGAAAACCAATTCAGCACGGACCCTACCACAGGGATCTGCCGCAACACTCCCTGTAAAACATAATCTTTGTTCAGGATGACCTGCTGAGCCTGCTCTGCTGGGATGCCAGCCTGGCAGACTCCAACAGTCACCTACCTCTTCCAGAAGCCGCTCCTCATTTGCCTTCTGCAGTTGAACCTGAGCCTCCTGAATTCCCTTCCGAACGACTTCTGTCATGTTCTCTAGAAGCTGCAAAACCAAGGAAGATACTATTTGTCTAAGCTTCTTGCCCAGGGCCTGGAACTTCTTACACAATCAACAGCATTGGTGACATTTTCCCACAAGTATGTCAGTAGATGGAATTCTGCACTGAAATACCTGAGCAAAAGCTAAATAGAAAATTAAACAGAAGAAGATGAAAGCTCATGCAGATCCAAGCAGACAGAACTTGTTGCCTGGCCTCATCTGCTAAAGAGGAGAAATAACAAGTTCCATTCTGAATGTTTTATCAATGAAAAGCAAGCACTGTTTAATGTTGAGAGAAAGTCAGAATTAACAGCTAAGACTGGGAAAAACCAACAGTGAACACAGCCAGCTCCTTGGCTTTTTTTAAAACCTCTTCATCCCCTCCCTACCCCAAAGTAAACTGCAGCACGTGTTTCTGTCTGCTCTCAGGCAAGGATGGGTTGAGTCTGACCACTAGCCTTGTACCCTGGTCTTCCATGCTACCTGACCAACAGAGGAAGGTCTGTTTCTGGTGGCATGGCCCTTATCAGGAGCACCTGTGTTGTTTGTCCTTAGGACTCAGCTCCTTTTAGGAAGTCTCACCTCAGTGCACTGCGGATGTGAGCACGCCCCCAAAAGCTCAGCTGCCCTAAGCCACAGCATTTGCTGCACAGCTTGGTGTACATGGCTCTTCCCCAACACTGCCTGGTGAGGTCACTGGGGGCAGCAACTGTGTCCAGGCCACTTAGTATTCCTCATGCCTGGCATAAAGACCTAGCTCTCAGGAAAGCAACATTTGGCAAAGAATGAAATGAACAGACATTCCCCAGTGTTGTATTGCAAAAGTAAGAAAAGACATGAAACACTAATTCATCTTACAGACCCTTGAGTTTTCCTCAATTTCCCGGGCTGTGACTGCAATGGTCTCTACTAGTTCAGAAATATCCACATCATCACTTGCCAGGCCAATGTAAATGCAGCTCTTCATGCTTTTGTACTCAGGGCCTGGGGGAAGAAACAGGCAAGGCTGGCTCCCATGTCCTCAGGACAGTGGGAAGCCAGGTCTGTCCTAACTATGAGGAAGATGCCTCTAACAAAGGAAAGGAAGGCTGGAGAGCTGCAGAGGGAGGGAGACCTTACTCTGGGAGACACTTAACCTCCAGTTGGTCCTAACCCAGAGCTCTCCCCTCTGTGGCAACGAAAAGCATCTTCCTTAAGCCCGTTTGACATGGTCTTCTTAAAGTTCACAGTGACTTAGGCAAGTAGTTCTTACCCATTTTAAATATGAGGTCAGATTCCAGTTCATTTAACTTTTTCAGAAGTCCAGTGTGTATTTCCTCACCCTCTGGATCAGATTTCAAACTGCTGTTATCATCATTAGCATGCTCATACCTAAAACACCACAGCACAGAAACACATCTAAGATTGAGCATCTCTTCAGACAGGACTGTGGGTACAGTAGAAACTCCCAGAGATGAGCAGAGATGTGAAGTAATCTTTTAATAACATCTAAGCCTCAGGTTGTGCTCCAGGAAAACGAGAGTCTGGGGGTCTTTTATTTACAAGGAAAAAGGGAAAATGAGAGGAAAGGAAGGTAGCCCAGAAGACTGTGAGGCCAGTACAGCTCTCTCCCTGGGAACCAGGCTTACCCTGTAAAGCTCTGTATATTCCACAGAGTAACCATTTGTCCACTATGTGTCTGCCCTGGGCACTTGTGAATTTGCACAAGCAGATAGCACACAGTGACCCCTGACTCACTGAGCCCATTGGTGGGCCAAACTATCTGACTACATATTTTATAGACCTTTCTAAATACTCCAGAACATCTCAGTGAGTTCTTAGCAAATATACTCTAACTTCACCTGGGTATGTAAGCATCAGGACCTACTTGTCTTTGACAAAGTAGTCCTTCACATCATGAAACAAGTCAAATCATTACCTGACAACCCCGATTCCAGGCCAGTTGGGGTCATCAACATATAGGAGGCCTGCTGTCCCCTCTACCTCCTGCCTGAACTCTTCTCGGAGCTGTAGTGTACAGGTCAGGACTGGCAGTTTGCTTTGGATGCAGGTGATGAGTTGATCCACATCTTCTCCTCGAGTTCCTAACACTGAAAACACCCACAGAATGTTCGAGAAAGACTTAAAGAAGGACTTGGTGGTGGGGTAGGGGGGTACATGAAGGGGAGACTCTTTACTACTAACAAGGTCAAAGGTCAAAAGCCCTCAGTAGTAGCTGAAATTTTTTTTTTTGAGAAAGGATTTCTCTGTGTAGCACCTGACTGTCCTGGAACTCAGTCTGTAGACCAAACCAGGCTGGCCTTGAACTCAGAGATCCGCCTGCCTCTGCCTCCTGAGTACTAGGATTAAAGGCATGTGCCACTGCCGATGCAGCCACCACCACCTAGCTTTTTTTTTTTTTTTTGAGACATGGACTCATCCTGTAGTTGAGGCTGGCCTTTAACTCCTGGCAGTCATCCTGCCATAACTTCCAAAGTGTTGGGATTATGGGCATAAGCTACTATACCTGACCTTAATTTTTTTTTTTTTTTCGAGACAGGGTTTCTCTGTGTAGCTTTGGAGCCTGTCCTGAATCTCACTTGGTAGATTAGGCTGGACTCGAACTCACAGAGATCCGCCTGGCTCTGCCTCCCGAGTGCTGGGATTAAAGGCGTGCGCCACCATCGCCCGGCTCTAAAAAATTTTTTTAAAGTTGTTCCATGTAACTATAGAAGGATCAGGTAGCAAAACCTAACACACTTGGGGCTCGGGCAACAGTTCTCTTGTACAAGCATGAGGACCTGGGTTTGGATCCCCATGGACCATAACACAAAAAAGTGGCTTCATGGTACACAGCTATGATCACAGCACTGGGGAAGTGGAGACTAGAGGATCCCTGGGCTCACTGGCCAGCTCAGTGAGCTCCAGGTTTAAACAAAAGACTCTGTCCTAAAAATAGAAAGTAGACAGAGATAAGAGGCATCTGATGCCAACCTCTGGCTTCCACATGCAAACACACGTACACCACACACATAAACAAATTTTTAAAAATCAGGCTGACAGGGCTCAGTGGTAAAGTTGCTTGCCACCAAGCCTGGCAACCTAAGCTTGATCCCAGGACCCACATGGGTAGTAGGAGAGAATCAAGTCCCATGGGTCCTCTGACTTCCACATGCATGTGCCCTTTCCACACAATAAACATAAATAATGAATGAATACATAACAATTCAATGGCTGCTGCTCCAGGAGACACAGCTGCTTTGTAGATTTAATGCACAGTGGAGCTCTCTACCTATAAGCCATTTTCTCACAGAAGGCCTAACGCAGGTTACACATATCCTGTCATGGGCTAAAACAAAAAGGCAGGTTTTTGTTTTTGTTTTATATGCAAATATTAATGGAAGAGAATGTTTTGGTGGGTTTGTATCTGGGACACCAGGAAGAGGGCAGAGAGACAATACCAGACCACATGAGATACACTGAGTTATTCAGAGGTGAGGGAGTCTTGGCAGTCTACCATCCCTCCTTCTTTGGGTTCACAGGTGCTGCTTGGGTGTTCTCTGCCAACCTCCAGCACTGTCTTCAGGGCTAGAGTTGAGGCCATCATCAAGTTCCAAAATGGCCTTTTCTTTACAGGGCAAATTTTCTTATTTTGGTGAGCTTGAGAAAATACCTTTGCAAAAATGTTGAGCATCTCATGAAAAACCACCAAAAACTTTCTTAAATTGTCTTAAGTTTTATTATAAAAAGCATAACCATTCAGCACTTGGGGTGCAAGGCAGGTGGATCTCTGAGTTCTAGGCCAGCCTGGTCTACAGATCAAATTCCAGGACAGCCAGGGCTACACAGAGAAAGTCTGTCTTGGAAAATCAAAGGGGCAGGGGAATGTGTTGTGGCTTATGCATGTAATCCCAGTACTTAGGAGACTGAGGCAGGAGGATCAGGTGTTTAAGGTCAGCCTGGGTTACAGAGCAAGACCCTGTTTCTAAAATAAAATAAGGGTTGGTGAAATGGTACTGTGAGTAAAGGTACTTGCTGACATGTATGACAACCGAGTTTGATCCCTAGAACTTATATTGTAAGAGGAAATTGACATCCAAAAACTGTCCTTTAATTTCCATATGTGTAAATGTAGAGCACATGTAGCATGTGCACACACATACACATACACCAAATAAATAAAAAATTTAAAAATAAGAAATACAGCCAGGTATATGGGTGCACACCTTTAATTCCAGCATTTAGAAAGCAGAGGCAGGCAGATCTCTGTGAGTTCAAAGCCAACATAGTCTACAGAGTGAATGTTTTAGGCCTGTCAAAGGTACAAAGTGAGACCCTGTCTCCAAAGAAAAGGAACATATGAAAACCCTACATATTTACAGGGTACTGTGGGCTATGTTGACACATGCATATCTGTAATGATCCCATCTGAGAAAAGCCTGTCTATGTCTCCAAACAGTCAACTGTTTCTTTGTGGAGAAGACATTCACAGTCTTTTCTAGCAGTAGCATTTTAGTGCATTCCTGTGAGCCTACAGGTACTGACACAAAACAGAACAAAGAGCTTCTTTCTCCTGCCCAGCTGTTGTTTTATTAGTGACCGAGAGGGCACATCCCATCTTTAGTTTTAACTTCACAGACTTCAACTGCACTGCTTTCTGCCATGTCTAAAAGGGTGGCCCTACTCTATTAGAGTCCCTAAGGCAACTGGGGATTCCCATTCCCATCCCCAGTGTGAATGGAGAACTTCTGGAGGGTTGACTACATGGAGGATCTTGGAGGGTGGCATGCCAGAAGATATGGAAACTGTGTCCCTTTCCTACAATTTGCCTTATACATTTCTTTTTTTCTTTTCTTTTTCTTTTTCTTTCTTTCTTTCTTTTTTTTTGAGACAAGCTGCTGAAAGGCTTGTTTGGGGTGGAAGGAGCTCTTTCTTACTGAAAACATTTTATATATTTTATCATGTTTTCCTCTCTCCCAATTCCTCCCAGCTCCTTTCATCTGCTACCTACACAATTGTATGTTCTCTCAACAAACCAAAAATGCGAGGGAAAAAAACCAAACAAACAAGAAACACAACTCCCCCTCCACCCAAAACTTGAAATTAAAACAAACAAAACAACAATAATAAAAAAAAAAAAGAAAAAAAAAAGCCAAACAAAGCAGAAGGAAACAAAAAATTCCACAAAAATGCCACTGAGTTCGTTTGTGTTGGCTAGCTACTCCCTGGCACTTTCCCTTGTCAGCTAACTGCAGACAGCTTCTTTGTTGAGGGGATAGGAAATGGGGGACAGGGGACAGGAAACAGGGGACAGGGTCCCCCCCTCCACTGTCCTCTTCCCTTCTCAGTGTGGGACCCTGTCTGCCTTGAACCTGTGCAGGTCTTGTGTGTGCTGCCACAGTCTCTAAGTGCTGAAAGGTTTTAAAGCTGCACAAGTCACTCAGATATGCACTTGGGCATGAGAAGTAACCCAAATAGAAAACCTAGAGTCAAAGGACATCAACACACAGAACTGAGTGGCTCCAGATGTCTCACTCTATTACTGAGAAGTTATGTTGACATAAATTTAGCCCCAAAGAAAAGCTACTTCAAAGGGAGATGCTGCAAACTACAGGAGAGCAGGGCACAAGGGAGACCCAGTCATCTGACTTGCTGGTCATCAGCAGGCACAATGGACTCTTTTTGCCCTAGCCACAGGGGCAAAGTTGAAATTGCCTTACCTGCCGCTGTCATCAAAGGGCTGAACCTCACACATGTGCCATCTCCCTCCAAGTCCATGACAGTGAGGCCACACACAGGCACTAACTGTTTCAGTTGTTCTCCTAGCTGCAGGGAAAAGGACGAGAACATTCCTGCAATAGGGGACTTAAATATCCTCACAGCCACCCTCACAACCTCACCCAGACTCAAACGGCTTCTGCAGCTAGTTTCTCTTATTCTTCAGGGTATCTTTCAATATTTCACAGCAATTTCCTGTTTCCAGTGCTATGAACAGACCTTGTCCAGGGGACTTTGCCCCTCCACCTCACCTTTTCCAATGAACAGTTCATTTTATGTTATTCCAAATACAAATTTACTTTAGAAAAACATGCACTACAGTTAAAACAAAAATATGAAATAAAAATGACTAACAACATACTATCTTAACACTGACCATTGATATCTGGTGTATTTCCCAGGGTCTTTTCTCTATTTTGTAACAATGCATTCTATACAATTTAGGAACCTAGCCGGGCAGTGGTGGCGCACGCCTTTAATCCCAGCACTTGGGAGGCAGAGCCAGGCGGATCTCTGTGAGTTCGAGGCCAGCCTGGTCTACAGAGCGAGATCCAGGACAGGCATCAAAACTACACGAAGAAACCCTGCCTTGAAAAACCAAAAAAAAAAAAAAAAAAAAATTTAGGAACCTATTCTCTTTGTCTGTATGCAGGCACACATTTGTGTGTGAGCATGGGTATGTGGAGGCCAGAGATCAATGCTGGGCTCTTCCTCAGTCATTCTCCATCTTACTTTTTGAGACAGGGCCTCTCCTCACTGAAACTATAGCATAATGATTTGTTTATACTGTCTGGCCAGTGAACCCCTGAACCACCTGTCTGCCTCTCTAGTGCTCGATTGTAGGTATGCTGCCGTGCCTGACTATTTTTTTTTACATGGATGCTGAAGATTTGAACCATGTCTGCCTGCATGCCGCCATACTCCCAGCTGCCGTGCTCCCCACCATGATGATAATGGACTAAATCTCTGAAACTGTAAGCTGCCACCTCAATTAAATGTTTTTCTTATAAGAGTTGCCATAGTCATGGTGTCTCTTCACAGCAATAAACACTTAACTAAGATAACATTTTTACCCTACTGAGAACACGTGAAGTCTAAACTCTAGGGTACTACATGTTAAGTGTTCAAAAAGCTGCTAGAGCAGAATGCTGGCCCACTTCGCCTGGCTGCCATAGGTCCTTGGGGACAACTGTACCTTCCGATGCACTTTGTTTGTTTGTCTTGTTTCTTTGAGACAGGGTCTCACTATGTAGCCCTGGCTGTCCTGGAACTTACTCTGTAGACCAGGCTGGCCTCGAACTCAGAGATCCACCTGCCTCTGCCTCCCAAATGCTGGGATTAAAGATGTGCACCACCACGCTCAGCTTTAGGCACACTCTTGTTGCCCAAAGCAGAGGTACTGAAGTTCAGCTTTACATACTGTTTTAGCCTTAGACATCGATCAGGAAATGGTCACAGAAGGAAAGTGAGGGGCTTGCCAGAGGTGACAGTGTGGGAAGTGCTTATCTGATTCAAAACAGAACAAGCCTGGTGTCTCTGCATGAAGCTCCTTCCTGTGGCTATGACTAACCACACATGACCACGTTACACAGCAGGGGTGAAGCCAGGTGACACTGCTCCAGACGTAAAGAAGAAAAAGTAGACAGCAGTCATCTTTACCCAGCGGTTCAGTGCATCACAGGAGTGTCTCTCCCGGCCAACAGCTGCAGGTGCTACGTTGGATACAGGGACAGCTTTAAACGCTGGATCTGAGGCCAAACACAGAAGGGATTCATTCCCAGAAACAAGGCCATAATAAACACTACAACTCAATCTCATTTCATGTAGATGCCAATGTGAATCCTTAGAGAACAGCATCACATATTAATGAAACCAAAATGTCTGAGAGGTTAATGTCCTATACCTTTCTGATGAACTAAGTAACTTCTCAATAGATTTTTAGAATAAGATTCTCCCCCTCCTCTCCTCTCTCTGGTTTCTTAAGACAGGGTTTCACTGTATAACCCTGATGTCCTGGAATTTGCTCTGTAGACCAGGCTGGCCTTGAACTCACGGAGTGAGTTCTGCCTCTGAGCGCTGGGTCTAAAGACTTGCGCTACCACCACCCAGCTTAGAATAGGATTCTTAATTTTCCTTTTTAAAAAAATTTGCTTTCAACACCAGCCTGGTGGTACACATCTATAATCTCAGCCTTTGGTAAAGCTAAGGCCAGAAGGCAGTGGTGGCACACGCCTTCAATCCTGGCACTGGGGAGGCAGAGGCAGGTGGATCTCTGTGAGTTTGAGGCCAGTCTGGTCTACAGAGCGAGTTTTTGGACAGCCAGAGGTACACAGAGGAATCCTGTCTCAAAAAAACCAAAAGGTTGCTTTCAAGGAATTCCAAAAGGAAACCAAAGAAATGTAAATGGACAATAAAGAGAACAAAAAAATCACTATGCATCAAGCCAAAGCCATTGAAAAAAGTGGGGCTCTGACGGAGGGTGATGGAGCCCATGCAGACAGGAAGGTGGGCATTTAGTGGAGATAGTATTGAGTAAGCAGACGGACTGCTACAAGTTTAAAGTCAGCTTGGTCTACAGAGTGAGATCTTGTTTCAAACAAGAAAAAAAGAAAAGGAATGAAGGGAAATATATTTGAAGCAGAAAGAACAGCAGTGCCACAGCCACATGCAAGACAGGAGCAGGGTGTCCTAGGAATGGTGTAAAGCCCTGGACTCGAGTCAGCTGAAAAAGAGAGATGCTGATGGCTATGAGCAGGGCAGGGGCTGAGGTGAAGCTCACTTACTGCCATGCAGAGTTGCCTGAAAGGGACTGTCTACAAATGTGGGAATGTCAGTGATGAGTAGGTGCTGTGGTTGTCTAGATGAAAACTAATGTGCGTTGGACTAGGTTGGTGGCATGCTGGTCACTTTTTTCCCCTTGAAGTATTGGGGATTAAACCTAGTGCCTTATGTATGCTAGGAATTGCTATATCCTCAATATGATCCATTCTTTAAAAATAGAGATTTATCTATCTATCTATCTATCTATCTATCTATCTATCTATCTATCTATCTATCTATTTATTTATAGACTGGGATTCTCTGTGTAGCCCTGGCTGTTCTTTCTATCTTTCTATCTTTCTATCTTTCTATCTATCTATCTATCTATCTATCTATCTATCTATCTATCTATCTATCTATAGACTGGGATTCTCTGTGTAGCCCTGGCTGTTCTAGAACTTGATCTCAAATTCAGAAATCCTCTGCCTCTGTCTCTCCAGTGTTGGGATTATAGGTGTGTATTACTTCACCAGGTTAAAAGAAAATCTTGATCCCAGCACTCAGGAGGCACAGGCAGGCGGATTATTGTGAATTTGAGGCTAAAATTAGTTTATATAGCAAGTTCCAGGCCAGCCAGAGGAGAAGGGGGTGGGGTGGGGTTGGGGAGGGGAGAGAGTGAGAGGATGAAAGGGAGACAGAGACAGACTGGCTGAGTCTTTGACTTATCCTCCTTAATCAAAATGCTTGAGAAGTAGAGGCTAAGAATCTAACAGGAGAATAAGAAGTTTAATGTCCCACACTTTTTCCTCATTATGTAACTCCAAAAATATCCCCAGAAATACAATTCTTTATTTCCATTTTAAAAAAAGTCACTCTCGACAGGTGGTCCCACCTTTAATCCCAGCCCTCTGGAGGCAGAGGCAGGAGGATCTCTGTGAGTTTGAGGGCAGCTTGATCTACAGAGTGAGTTCCAGGACAGCCAGGGCTATACAGAGAAATTCTGTCTCAAAAGAACCAACCAAACAAACAAACAAAAAAGTCACTCTCCTTAAAAAGAATTCTGAGAACAAACCAAAACAAAGTTTGTAAGCTGACAACCAGTCTGCTAAGCACTGTGTACTCAGCACAAGCTATGTGATGGTATTTGGGAGTCCTCGGTTTAACACTAACATGCTTGTGGAAACTGTAATACTTTTCTAAAATGACTGAAGATTTTAGCAATAAAAACATATGGACTACCTATTTGGTTATATAATATTAAATTTAAAGCCTTAAACACAGATATAAACCTTTTTTTTTTTTTTTTTTTTTTTTTAAATCACCTACCTGAGCCTGGTAATTCCTGGAAAAATCTGAACACTACTACTGGAGAACTGAGCTCATCTTCCACCTGCAAAAAGTGAAGTGTGCTGTTACCACACTGAGGATAGGGTCAAACATCAACAGGATGAGACAGTATCTTTGGATAAACAGGCAGATATGCTGCTTGTACACAGACATTTTAAAAAGCTCAAAGGTTGTAAGTGGCCTGAAATGAAATGAAAATGATGATTCCTTACTCTCTTGACCCAATAAACCCTATAAAACCATGCAAACTAGCAAAATGCATTTAAATTTAAAGAAAAATGCGTAGGATGTTTTGCTTGCATGTGTGTATGTGAACCAAGTGTGTGCCTGGTACCCCCAGAGGCCAGAATAGGATACTGGATCCCCTGGAACTAGAATTACAGACTGTTGTGAGCCACTATGTAGGTGCTGAGAATCAAATCTGGGTCCTCTGCAAGAGCAGCAAAGTGTTCCTAACTGCAGAGCCATCTCTCCAGCCTAAATCAGGAACTTTTTATAAAAAGGCATCAGCTCTTAGAACAAGACTCAAGTCCTTCTGGCAATGTACATACCTGCAGCCTAAAATATACCGGTGAACTGTCAGACAAGTAACTCAACCTGTTTCCTAACTGATGACAATGCTCACTGCATTACAATGTCATGATGTACTTCCCTCTCCACATAAGCCGACGATCAGGTTTACCACACAACTATGGTACATACCAACCAGCAATAGCAACAGTGTTTCTGTTGGGGGACACTCTAGAGATGCTTTTTTTTTTCAGCACTTAACAGTTGTAATCTAAGCCGGGCAGTGGTGGCGCACGCCTTTAATCCCAGCACTCGGGAGGCAGAGCCAGGCGGATCTCTGTGAGTTCGAGGCCAGCCTGGGCTACCAAGTGAGTTCCAGGAAAGGCGCAAAGCTACACAGAGAAACCCTGTCTCGAAAAATCAAAAAACAAAACAAAACAAAACGAAACAAAAAAAAAAAAAACTATCAGTGTAGTCATGAATCATGTGTTTTGAATTATACTGTGGCTGATAAAGTCACTTAGTAGAACTACAACAGGAAGTGCTAACTCACAGACAGGCTCTCTCACTACGTAATGCTAGCTGGCCTGGAACTCACATAAATAAAATAAAATTACTAATGCTGTTTAAGAAAATAAGGACTTATTGTTTAAGTAGAATGGGGAGTTCCACAAGGAAAAAGGAACTAAAAAGTTGGCAAAACAATCTCCCCATCTTTTGAGGTAAGGCAGAGTGATCCAGTTCATAACGTGTGTGCATGTATATACATATGATCACTGTTTTCTTCTTCCTTTGAACCTTGATCTCAGTGTCAGTGTGTAGTTATATAAAAAAAAAAAAATGCAAGGTTCTACCAATATAACAGACTGAACTAATACTGAAGTTATCTAATTATAAATTCTGAAGTGTTATATTAAGCCAAATTATATCTAAAAAGTTAAAACCATTTCTGGGCTCAAAACAAAATGAATCCAGAAAGAGTAAACAGAAGAAGCATCTGTGAGGACTGGACATAGTGGCACACTCAGGAGGCAGAGGCAGACAGATCCCTGAGTTTGCAGCCAGGCTGGTCTACAGAGCAAGTTCCAGTCAAGGCTACACAGAGAGACCCTGTCTCAAAAAAACAAATGACAACAACAAAGTAGCAGCTGTAAATGTAACCTAAGTTGCTTGGACTGGGAGCATGAGTGGTCATGAACCATAACTTTTATGGTTGAGATCCTATATTTTAATGCCCATGTGGTGCATAGAGAATTTATACAAAGCTTTTAATGAAGCTTCTGCAGGGAAAGAAATAAGTATATATATACTATATATATTGTGTGTGTATTATATATATTATAATACATAATATACATATAGTGCATAAAATATATATTATAATATATAATATTATATATATTATAATACACACACACACACACACACACACACACACACACACACACGAGCCTGAGTAAAAATGAGGTCAATAAAGAAGAAAAAATCCTGGGGAATCAAGTGATGTATGTCCTGTGTGTGTGATCTCAGGGTGCTGAGGGGAAGGCTTCTTGAAGAGGAGATGTTTGAATTGAGACCTGAAAGCTCACAATTCAGTCAAAAGAAGAAATAGGGAGCAGTGAGTGTCTCCAAGCAGAGGGAACAAAGGAGACTGTTGTAGTGATTAAACAAAACAATGCACAAAAGATACTGGGTGCTATGTGTGCTAACTGTAAATAATAAGCAGCCTACTAGTGGCTGTGAGATGACTGACATGCTACTTACTCTGTCTTGTGTTGTTTGCTTATCATATATCCTCCACTGAAGGAAGTGGCCATTGAAAGAAGGGCTGTTGGAAGGTTTGTGGCTCGACTATGTGTAGCCTTACAAACACACTCCAAAAGAACTGATGGTTAAGAGGGGACATAAGGAGAGTCTGAGTGGGCTCAGCAAGGGACAGGACAACCACATGGGCTCAGTACTGCCTCGATTCCTAACAACAAGCTCATTCTAGTCCACTGTGGAGCTCCTCATCGGCAGGCAGAGGTGTCCAACTAATATACTTTCATTTGACAGCTGATATGACAGAACAAGAGGTTAAGAAAATAACTCAGGGTATGGAGAGGTGGCTCAGTAGTAAAGAGCACTGACTATTCTTCCAGAGATTCAATTCCCAGTAACGACATGGTGACTCACAACTGTCAGTAACTCCAGTTTCAGGGGATCCAGTGCTTTCTTCTGGTCTCTACATACATGGTAAATAGACATAATTGCAGACAAAACATCCATGCATATAAAATAACAACAAATAATCTTATGAAAAAATGAAAATGACTCTGTCACAGGGTCACCCTGTGGCACTGCTAAGAGCAGAACTCAAGCCTCCTGACTGGGAATCATCTGCTCCTCCAATGACCCACTATCCTCTTCCAAGTTTCCTTTCAACTGAATGCTGCCAGCTGACTGGCTTCAGAATGCAATACAGAGTACCTGTTCCCCAACCCTGGCTCCTATCCTACAACCTAACCATATTCTAAACAAAAGTGATTATATTAATCTGGACCCCAAATAAACTCAAGGACCAACTTTGAACTAAACTTGTTTTGCAAAAGTGCCAAAGAAACACTCAGTGAGCACATTTAAATAAAAACCTGACCTATTTATTTCCTGAATGAAGCAAAATGTGAAAAGCTGCCCTCCTGGACTGATGCTTTTAGTTGTTAGTCCTGCTAAGTCCCTATCTCCTTGTGAGTTACTATTTGAGGGAGCCAAGATCCCAGAAGACAAGGCCTGGGGCATCTGCTTTTTCCTTCTTATCCCACTTTGATCAGGTTTCAGAAAGCAGCCCAGAGTATTCTGAGACAGTCATCTCTGAGGATGGGTGATCTTAAGTCCTTGGGAAGGTGAAGTAAAAGGAATTTACACAAGATCTTTGTGCAATTCTAGATTTTAACAGAATTATAGGAATTTAAAATTTAAATATTGTTTGGTACAGATTTCTTAATTTCAGACTAACTGTATAATTAGGTCACAAACATGTGTGATTCCCTCATAAAGACTGTTGCTGGGTGGTGGTGGTGTACGCCTTTAATCCCAGCACTCAGGAGGCAGAGGCAAGCGGATCTCTGAGTTTGAGGCCAGCCTGGTCTACAGTGAGTTCCAGGACAGGGTCCAAGGTTACACAGAGAAACCCTGTCTCAAAAAAACAAAACAAAACAACAACAACAACAACAAAAAAAACCCCCACACAACCAAAAAGACAGTTCACTGGAACTGTCACAACTCAAATGAAATGTTATCACACTTAGGGAAAACCATTTTCTTTACTGGAGTTAAAAAACCTTAATTCAGGAGCTGGAGAGATGGCTCAACGGTTAAGAGCACTGACTGCTCTTCCAGAGGTCCTGAGTTCAATTCCCAGCAACCACATGGTGGCTCACAACCATCTGTAATGAGATCTGGTGCCCTCTTCTGGCCTGCAGGGATACACGCAGACAGAACACTGTATACATAATAAATAAACAAATCTTTAAAAAAAAAAAAACTTAATTCAAAAGCACAGAAAATTATATACTATACCAAAATTCTGATGTGGTCCACTTTCTTCAAACTTTCTTGCAACCGCTGACTCTATAAATAACAACAACACACAAAAGTATACAACCTTACTAGACTGACATAATATATTAGCAGGTATCATGAGGGTCTTTGCAATATGCAAATAAGCACTTCAAACAAAGGCATCTGCAACGTGGTGATTAAGTTTGGGTCCCAATTTTTACAACTCAACATCTGCAAATATTTTTCAGTCTTTCACATGTAGAGCTAGCAAGTGAAGGCACATGGCATGCCAAGCCATGAGGATGGATACAATTGCCATTACTATATAGTCTCAATCCAATACCCCTCATCACTGATATGAGAATCATTATAGTCCCTAACTCAGGGAGTAGAAGAACATGAATTCAGCATTGAGTATTGCATGTTGCAAAGCCCCTCAAGGAACCCCACTTGAAATTTGTTCTATCAGTGAAACTTACATTCGAGTGAAATTGTGGGCATCATATGAAATAATGCAAAGTGCTTCAAGGTGTTTGGCACTGAGTAGATGCTCAACAGCTGCCACATATGAAGAAAGAGGAGATAAGGAGGAGGAGAGGGGAGTCACAAGAGACAGCTTTCTTTTATTGGGGATGCATGACACACAGTATGGACTATAAGGCATGAACATGCAGACATGCACATCTGCTAATGCTCCACATAGTTTCACAGGTGCTCTAGGATAGTGAGTGAACAGCAGGTTGTCATTCAAACCCTTATGAACACTGGAGATTAACTACAGGTTTGAGTTGTAGGCAGGTGCCAGAGCTGTAGTAATCTCAAGGGCTTGGTAGTTAATGTCATCATTATTTTCCTGTACTCCTAAAGCCAAGGGGAATTGAACCTCTCCCATAAGTGCTCAAACCTTCCCCTAATTTGACTAAGTTGCTATGGTAAAAAAGGCTTTTATTTCCTAAGAACTAAATCATGATATGAGCTAACAGCATGATGAAAACACTTTTTAAAAAATGCTTTATAAACATGAACCTTAAAATTAATTTTCAATGTAAAAAGGAACTAATCTATAAACCAAAGAATGAAATACTAATTTCTCTTAAGTATAAAAATGACAGAAGAAAGTGTCAATATCCTGGGTTGGAGGAGAAACAGTGGAGTATTTGTTTGGGGTACTGAGACTAAACTCAGGGCCTTGCACATACCAAGTGTGTGGTCTACCACTGACCTACAACCACAGCTGTTGTAGAATATTATTTTAAGGTGTGTTACTTTTGTTTAACTCTGTGAAGCTGAGTTACTGTGCCTGTGTAAAACACCTGGTGGTCTAATAAAGAACTGGCCCATAGTGAGGCAGGAGAAAGGAAAGTCAGGGCTGGCAGGAAGAGAGGATATATAGAAGAACTCTGGCAGGAGAAAAAAAAAAAAGATGGAGGAGTGAGGAGATCTAGCAGCCAGAGAGGGAGGAGGACTCCAGGGGTCAGCTACCCAGCTACACAGCAAGCCATGGGGTAAGAGTAAGATTTACAGAAGTAAGAGAACGGAAAAAGCCCATAGGTAAAAGGTACACAGGGCTAATTTAAAGTTAAGGAAATAAGCCAAGCTAAGGCCAGGCATTCATATGAAGTAAGAATAAGCCTCTATGTGTGATTTATTTGGGAGCTGGGTGGTGCCCCCCACAAAAGAGTAAAATACCAATAACAACACACAGCCCAAGAATATATTTAAAACAAAGACTTAAACCTATATAAATAATTTATGTGACCAGGCACTACTTAATAGTTTAACATACATCAACTCAGTATGTTCTTATAAGTAAATTATTATCTTATATTACAGGTGAGAAAAAAAGGTGTCAAAAGATGACAACATACTTTTAAATTGGCACAGGGATCAATGTTCACACCACACAAATAAGATAGCCTCTCATGTAATCCAGGTGTTGTCAAACTTACTATGTAGTGAGGCTGGTCTTGAACTCCTTCCTGATCTTCCTGACCCCACCTCATGAAAGCTGGGACTACAGTCATGCATAATCATATTTAAACCCAATCGCTTTTTCCTGCTGTCAAAGTTGGCCTTGAACACTTAGTCTTCCCTGCCTCTGCCTGCTTTTTTTTTTTAAAGAAATTTTTTATTCATTTTATATACCAACCTCCTCCCACCCCTCCAGCCTTTCCCCTCCCAGCCCACCCCCCATTCCCTCCTACAAGAAGGTAAGGCCTCCCCTGGGGAGTCAGCAGAGCCTGGTGCATTCAGTAGAGGCAGGTCCAAGCCTCTCCCCCTATATCAAGGCTGTGCAAGGTGTCCTACTACGCATAGGTAGTGGGCTTCAAAAAGCCAGTTCATGCACCATCGATGGATCCTGAACCTACTGCCAGGGGGCCCCTTAAGCAGATCAAGCTACACAATTGTCTCGCTTATGCAGAGGGCCTACTCTAGTCCTGTGGAGGCTCCACAGGTGTTGGTCTAAATTTCATGAGTTCCCACTGGTTTGGTTTGGTTGTCTCTGTAGGTTTCCCATTACGATGATGATGATGACCCTTGCTCATAGAATCCCTCTTCTCTCTCTGACTGGACTCCTGGAGCTCAGCATGGTGTTTGGCTGTGGATCTCTGTATCTGCTTCCATCAGTTACTGGGGAAAGGCTCTATGATGACAGGGTATTCACCGATCTGATAACTGGGGTAAGCCAGTTCATCTGCCTGCTTCTTAAGTGTTTGGAAAACAGGGTTGAGCTACCACGCCTACCTTAAGGGTAAGGTTCTCAATACGTTTGTTCAAAATTGCTATGCTGAAACCTAATATCCTAAACAATGATATTAACAGGTTCAGCCTTTGGAAGTGGTTAGTGCATGATGGCTCAACCATCATGCACTAAAAAGAATTCACTAAAAAAGATTTGTGAACATGCTTATAAAAAGATGAAGGGATGCCTGGTGGTGGTTGTGGTGTACACCTTTAATTCCAGCACTGGGAGGCAGAGGCAGGTGGATCTCTGTGAGTTTGAAGCTAGCCTAGTCTAAAAAGCCAGTTGCAGGGCAGCCATAGCTATTACCAGAGAAACCCTGTCTCAAAAGAACAAAACAAAACAAACAAGCAAACAAAAAACGGAGTGCTTTCCCTGTTTCCAGGTGAGAATACACAGATGGTACCATCTAAGGCCTTCACCAGACACCAAATCTGCTGACATCTTGACCTCAGATTTGAGCATCTACAAATAAAAGCAACATGTTTTTTGCTACTCACAAATTACCCAGTCCAACGTATTTTGTTTTAGCAGCCAAACAGATGACATTAACCTATAACAGAATTTACGTTTTTCATAATCAGATTACCTCTAATACAAAGAGAGATTGGTCCCCAGAACCTTACAAATAGGAAACCCAAGCTACTGTATTAAAAATACCCACACCTGGGAGCTGGAGATGGCTCCGCAGTTAGGAACACTGGTTACTCTCCCAGAGGACCCAAGTTCTGTGAATGGCTACACACAGAGAGTATACTGGTAGTGCTAATGGGACTTGATAAGTAAAAAACAAAAAGAAAAGCAAAACAGAGTAAGGTGGGTATGGAATGAATGGGATTTGCAAGAGTTGGGGGAGGCGAGTGAAAATACAATATATGAAATTCTAAAACCATTAATAAAAATACCTATAAAAAACCCCATGCCACTTACACTGAATTTTCTTTTTTTCCCTTCATTCCTTTTTTTTTTTTTAAAATTGATTTTTATCTTTTTATTTTGAGACAAGGTCTCTCTATGTAGTCCTGGCTATTCTGGAACTTGCTATATAGGAACAGGTTGGCCTCAAACTCAAGAGATTCTTCTATCTCTGCCTCCCCAAATGCTGGGATTAAAGGTGTGGGCCACCATACCAGGCCTCTACACTGAATTTTCAATTTTTATATTCCCTCTCTCTGGAAGGCCAGTCAGTCAAGAGCAATATTTATGCATCTTCTCTTTTCTTGGAAGTCATTTTGTGACTGTTCTCATTCCAGCGTGACACTGGCATATTCCTTTTCATCTGGAAATAATGTTGGGTCAATGCCACCAGTCTCTCCCAGAACTCCAAAGAAACACATATACATGAGGCACTTAGTTTGCTTGCTGATGAGATGATACACCAAGGTGACAAGGTACTGGACACATATACCAAAAGGAAAAGATTTTCCTGTCACTGATTCTGTGGAGGAGTCTCTGCAACTCTTCTAATGTTTCAGTTTCTACTCACCAGCTGACAGGCATGCTTTATTCTTTCCACAATGCCATCCAGTCCCAAGTATTGTAAAGACAACCACAGCGGCAGGGCTCGGAGTTTGTCTGCAGGCTTATTTGATGTCAGACCAGCAACTAGTGTCTGAAAAAGACAAGATAGGTGCACTGACCAGGGCTGCTGGAATGTCAGCACTAACTAGCAACTCTTCACTACATACTTGGAATGTATCAAATGCTATGCTGGATACCTGGCTTGCATTATCCATTTAGCCCTTCAACAACTAGTGCCCTAGGTAAGCTTAGCTCAGAGACCCAACTGTGCTCAAGGATTCACAGGTGAAGAGAGGCAGAGCTACTCCTGGTGAGAATCCAGATGGGGTATGTTCTAGAGCCACAGTTCTTAGTCATTTAGGAGGCAGCCTCTTGACAGGTCACTATGAGCATATTTGAAATTGTTGGCCATTTTCAACTAAGCAAGATATCAACTGTTTAAGCAATAATCATTAAACATTTACTTTGCATGTATCTATCGTTAACACATCTGCCAAAAAACACAATTTAGTGTTAAAACCAAAATATTAGGTTATAACCTGTACTAGAAAATGTAGGTCAGGGGTCTTAAATGGTAATTTTACTTTTGGGAATCTAATCTCTGGAAAGAATTTAATATGTAAAAGGATATTTATTGTCTTATTAACAAAAACTTGGCAACAACTTAAAAGCTCACAAATGACCATTATTAAGTAAATTGTGATCAAGCAACAGAAAGAAAATCATAGTCATAAAATGCCACACACACACACAAATAATCTTTCATATACATAAGGAAATACAGGCATAACTGAAAATATTTAAAGTATGGCTTCCTGGGCTAATGAGATGGCTCAACAGGTAAAGGCACTCATGTGAGTTTGATCACTAGAACCCATGGATAGGTGGAGGGAGAGACTTTCACAAAGTCATCCTCTGACCTCCACATGTGTGTTGTAGTATGTAGAGTTCCCCATCACTACCTCCAATTTTTTTTTAAGTATGGATTCAATTTTTTTTTTTTTTTTTAAACACAGAGCCTATGTATCCCACGTTGGCCTTGAACTCCTGATCCTCTTGGGTCCACCTTCCAAGTGCTAGGATAACAGGTATGCTCTACCACACCCATTTTATATGGTGCTGAGCATGGAATCCAGGGCTTTAGGCATGCTAGGCAAAAAGTCTACCAATGGAGCTCCAGCTCCAACAATTTTTTGTTTTTATTTTTGAGACAGGGTCTTACTATGTAGCCTAGGCTATACTAAAACTTGCTATGAAGCCCAAGATAACCTTAAACTTGAGATTTTATTGCCTTAGTCTTACAGGTATGTGCCACTATGCCCACTTTAAAAAAATGGTATTGGAGGGTAAGAGCAAGGTACAATATGCATGCATGAAAATGCCATAATGAAACCCATTATTTTGTATATTTGCCAAAAAAAATTTAAAAAAGGTAACAGAAGTAGAATTAAGAAAAAAATTCCTTTATTTCTCTGAATTCTATCCTGTAAGGCAATTATGAATACCGTTCATTCCCTAGTGACAGTCAGCTCACCAAGGCAGGATCGTCATGTTTGTAGAGAGTCACTGCAGGGACAGCTGGTAAACCTAGCCATGGGCCAGGAGTCAGTGTCATGCTATCACATTTGGTTGCAGCCTACCAGAAAGAGAGTTTTGTTCATTAGGTGACCAAAGGATATGAAACACAGTCCCTCTTACAGTCGTGAAAACTATGGAAAGCCAGCATGGACTGAACAGACTAAGCTCCTTCTTATCACCACCAAAATTCAATAAACCAACAACATACCAGCACAGACGAGGAGACATAACCTAGAGCCAATGTTGCCAGATTCACACTGGAAGAAAAAGCACCAGTCTAAGAACAAATTAGTTAATGTGACTTATTCCCTAAGCAGTACTCTACAAGAGAGAAAGATGCTGTCATAAGGTGACATGTGACCATCTTCACCTATGTCTTTTGTTTCATTAGCATTAATAAAGCAAAAGATGGGAACTACAGAAGTTCTAAAGAAAGCTTTAAAATGCACTTTTAATAAAAACATGCTTTGGGGGCTGTCCTTGCTTATTTAAGACAATGCACACACTATTCTGTATCTTTCATTGCCACTCTTCCTCAGTCACTGTTCTTTTTGTAGAGGAAAGATAAAAGGACCCTTATCATCTTGGACAATGTGATGACATGGGCACCTGGCTGCCCTGCACCTGCTCTCCCTAAAGATACTCCAGGGCCTTCTGTCAAACCACCCTATCACCTTTAACAAGCTATGACTCAGGTGGAGTCACTTACCCACATCAGGTGTCCAAAACACCTCAACCATCAGAGAACTCACGGAGCATGAAGCTGGAAAGGAGGCTAGGATTTCTGCAGTTACTTTTACCACAATAGAAAAAATCTCTCCAAGAGCCAAAACATAGGAAATCAAGCCAAGTGACCATGATTAGGGGAGAAGTGGAGAGGAATATATGGAATTCTGGTTGACACTGTGCTTAAAGCCAATCCCAATACTGGTCTTTTCAGTTGTACAAAGCAATAGAATGTCCTTTTGCTTTAGTCAGTTTTGTCATCTGTAGTCCAAGCCTTTAATGATAAATGTCACTCTGAGTGTTGGTCTGGGCGTCCACTCTCCATGAAGACCAACATGGAACTAACCAACCTTACCATATACTTACCCTTCCACATGAAGCCAGATGTCATATTGCTCACAGAGCTCCTTCAAACGTCCAATCTTGTCTGTGTGTCCAACAGCTGCAGTTCCTAAAACAAAATAAACAGGAGCATTACAAAGCAACCCAGTGCCTTCTGACTCTTTCCAGTGAGGGAGTTTTCATGCACAGTTATATGGCATCTCCACAGGATGGATGACTTAAAATCAATACTTGCAAGTTGGTTTGTGTAAGTTTTGAAGAATGTGCCTCCTTTATAAGTAATTTTGTACTGAATTTGTGTACTTGCTTTTAAATTCACTAGACCTGTTGAGTCATGGAAAACTGCCAAGTCTGCCATCAATACTGTGGGACTGTCGATTTATGCCTGCATTCTATCAGCATTCTCTTTAGAAACTTCAAAGCTTTGTCCACAAGCATTTGTAACTATTTTCTCTTTCAGATTATGTCTTGTCAGTGTGAACTATTTTACACTCACTATTCTAGGTATTGTACTTTTGTTGACATTTGCTCAAGATATCCTTGTTCATTGTTATCTCTACATCTTGAGTTATTCTGATTTAGGTATCTCCTTTATAAAAAGAATATATAACATGAGTTTGGGTTTTTACCACAGAGGTTATTATAAAACATGTATTTTGAAGACTACTTAAACATACATCATCCCTCAGTAATTTGGAATATAGACTTCGTTGAGTACACCCCTTTTCAGACAAAACTTAAGTAAAATATAGAGTCATGTATTCCCCCTAAATGCCCTAAATTTTCAGTTAATAAAATCCCAACTAGTAAGAACTTCTACGTCCTCACCATGGCCTTAACAAACCCATCTTTAAAAAAAAAAGGTAATGTAGGCTGTAATGTAGGCTGGCAGTGTAGCTTAGTTGGTAGAATGTTTGCCTAGCATACAGAGAACACTATGTCAGATCCCCAGCACCACATAAAGTAGGCATAGTGGCACATGCTTGTAATCCTAGCACTAAGACCAAAAGTTCAAGGTCATCCTTGGCTACCTGAATTAAAGGCCAGCATGAGATACATGAAACTTTTTATCTCAAAAAAGGGGTTAGGGAACTGGGGAGATAGTTAGGTAAAGTGCCTGTCTCACAAACAAAGTTTAGCTCAACTGAAGCACCCGGGAAGGACACTCCTGTGATGATTCACATTACATTTGAAGTTTAGACTTTCTATGCTTGAGAGACCAAAAAGCAAAACATGCTTCTAACATGTAAGTCCCTAACTTTTACAGGCTATACTCTAGCAGCCCACATTCATTTCTCCCCCTGAGGCTGAAGACTGTTCTTAAATTACTGATCTTGTAAAACTTGCTGTTCTTACGAAATAAAAGGTCATAAGGCTAACTGCTATTTCTGCTTTTATAATCAAACTTGCTTACTCTGATCAAAAAGAGGACAACTGCAAGACATATATTTTAAAATTAAGACCCTGCCCACACATAGGCAGAATACATGTAATCTTGTGGGGTTTGCCTTTATAAACCCTGGACTGATATGGCTAGCTGCTGCATCTGGAGGGTGCTCTAAGCTGATGTCCTGGTGTCATGAGCATCCAGCACCAGTATTTCTGTTTTGTTTTGGTTTTTTGAAACAGAATTTCTGTGTAGCCTTATTGTCTTGAAACTTGATCTGCAGACCAGGCCGGTCTTGAACTCACAGAGATCCACTTGCCTCTGCCTCCCAAGTGCTATGATTAAAGGTGTACACCACCAACATGCCCCAGCACCAGTATTTAATAAAACCTCTTATTAAAATTTATCCATGGTCATTGTGAATCTCTGTGTGACCAGACTAATAACAACTCCAACCTATTGAGCTGCCTGTAGGCTGTGCAGTCCGGGTCCCCAGCCTTGTGAGCTGTCCCCCATGTTGGAGTGGGCTTTGGTGATGCAGCTAACCCTAATAAAACTCAATGGTTTATCAAGTTGGACTTTGGTGGTGCCTGTATTTTGGTCTGTAGTTAGGATCCCTATCTAGGGTGAGTAGACATATGTGTTGTGTCTCCCCAGGAAAACTTTTGTCACACAACACCCTACCAGGAATGTATGTAGCTGCTTAATCCCTATCAGCATTAGGCACTTTTTGCCCCTGCAGTAGGACTGGAGCCAGGGTCTCAGGCACAGCAGACAAACATTCCATCACTACACTACATCTCAAACTCACTGTGGTTTTATTTATTATTTTATTTTATATTTTGAGACTGTCTAGCCCTGAACTCACTATACAGCTTTAGACAACGCTGAACTTCAAACTTCTTGTTCCCACCTCCAGAATGCTGGAATTACAGACATGTGCCACCCACATTTGGTTCACTTAGACTTACAGATCAAAGCCAGAGCTATGAAATACTAACATGTACTCTACCAACTCATTGAACTACATCCCACAACTTACTGTGGTTTCTCCATTCAGCCCAGACTGACCTTGAGTGTTGATCTTTAGGCTTTAGCCTCTGAAGTGCTGGGATTGCAAACTATGATCTAAGTATGTACAAAACATATGCAGCTGAACTGTATTGTTCTAATGATACTGATATTAAACATCTTTTCAAGTGTTTATATGCCCTTTGGTAAAGAATTCATCCAAATGCTGTTAATTTTAATGCTGTCTATCACCTTACTGTAATGGGGCCCCAGACCTTAGCACAACTGACTCCATGATGGATGTGCCATTCAGGCTGTAAAACACAGCATGTAGACAGCATCACCTGCCAAAACTTAAAGGCCCAATCCATCAAAGCCCATTCGGTTCTGGGAAAGTCTCAAAATGTACTAACCTTACTTTTCAGCTTCTGCAGTTCTGCTTCTGGCTAACTACTCTTGTTAACTGAAGTATGTTAACCCAGAATATGTTTTTTAATGCTTAAAGGCTCACTCGGAGAAAGACTTAGTGCTACACTGGGATTCTGAATGTTGGAGCCCACTGAAAGTTCCTAGTGGCTTTACCCAAGACTGCATAAGAGGATGATTGGGTACCAGGTGTTTGAAAGGGTCTACATTTGGCTGTATCTAGCAAGGGGGAGGTCTTTTGCCCCTCCCCTTGGCATTTTTATAAAAAGCCCTTTTGAATAAAGTTCTGGGCCAGTGGATAAGGACCCAGGCCCACCCAAGGCTATACTGTGTTTCTGTTTCTCTCCCCTCCATATTTCTATCTAAGTCTCTTATCTGTCACTCCTCAAGAGTCTCTGGGGTAAATAAATTTGGGAGCTGGTCTCCCACACCTGAACACCAGTGTAGTCAATGGCTGGCCAATAAATACTTTCTATTGGCTTAAACCCATGTCTGAGCAGTCTTCTCTGGTGAATACCCCACAGCACTTACTACTGAATTGCAAAGTAACTTCACATATTTTAGATATAAGTCATTTGCTAGAAAAGTGTTTTGAAATACTTTTCCCAGCCTACTGCTTGCTTTTCATTTCTTTTGTCTTTTTTTGTTTTTTAAGACAGCATTTCTCTGTGCAATAGCCTTGGCTATCCTGGAACTCATTTTGTAGACCAGGCTGGCCTGGAACTCAAAGAGATCCACTCACCTCTGCCTCCTGAGTGCAGTGCTGGGATTAAAGGCATGAGCCCCCACGCTGCTTTTCATTTCATAATAGGGCCTTTTGTTTTTTTTTCTCTGTTTGAGATAGATTCTGTTATGTAGCTCTAGCTGTCCTGGAATTTGTTATGTAAACAAGGCCAGCCTTAAACACAGAGAGATCTCCTGCCTCTGCACTTCTAGTATTGGAATTAAAGGCATGAGCCACCATACCAGCTCAAAAAGTCTTCTCAAACAGCAAAAGCTTCTTGTTGCTGGGGACTGAAGCCAGGGCCTTGTACTTGCTAAGCAAAAGCTGTACTGAGTGATATCCTAAATCAAGTTTTTCATTCTTTTTTGGTGTTGTTTGAGGCAAGACCTCACTATGTAGCCTTGACTGGCCTGGAACTTGTTACACAGAAATTGTGACAAGGCTTGTTTAGGGATAAATTACTTAGAGACAGAGCCTATAGTTCATTTGGGCCTTCTTAAACTTCTTATTTTTGCTAAATTTACTCATGTAGTTTTCTTACATTTTTTTTTTATTAACCTGTGTATAAACATGTGAGATGTGTATGGGGGTATACACATGCCATGGCCCCCATGTGGAAGCTAGAGGATAACTCTGAGGAGTTGGTTCTCTCTTTCCACCTTTCTATGAGTTTAGGGAATTGAAATCTGGTTGTCAGTTGTTACTGGCTGGTTTTGTGTGTCAACTTGACACAAGTTAGAGTCATCAGAGGAAGGAGCCTCACTTGAAGAAATGCCTCATTGAGATCCAGCTATAAAGCATTTTCTCAATTAGTGATCAATGGGGATGGGCCCAGCCTATGGTAGGTGGTACTGGTGGTCCTGGGTTCTATAAGAAGGTGGACTGAGCAAGCCAGGGGAAGCAAGCCAGTAAGTAGCTTCTCTCCATGGCCTCTGTATCGGCTCTTGCCTCCAGGATCCTGCCCTGTTTGTGTTCCTGTCCTGACTTCCTTCAGTGTTGAACAGCAATGCTGAAGTGTAAGCCAAATCAACCCTTTCCTTCCCATCTTGCCTTTTGGTTATGGAGTTTCTTTGAAGCAACAGAAACCCTAACTGAAACATCAGGTATACATTATCACACAGTAAGCACCTTTCCCTGCCAACCTATATTGCTGGCCCATTTTTAGGCTTTTTGATGCTATTATAAAAGACATTTTAAATTCAATTTCTTATTTATTACATTTATTTTGTGTGTATGTGTGGGCAACAAAGTCAGAGGACAATTTGCAGGATCCTGTTCTCTCTTTTCACCATGAGATGGAACTCAGGTCATTTGATTTGGTGGCAAGCATCTTTATCCACTAGCCATCTTGCTGGCCTTAAATTCAATTTCTAATTGTTTATTGCTGGATAAAAATCTAGAAACCTTATTAGGTTCACAAACCAGTTCCAGGAACTTTTCTTTAGTTTCCCTAAGAGTGCCACTCCTTGATGAGGCCTGGTGTTTTATTTCTTTAACATCAGCCCTTAGAAGGCCAAGGCAGGATTACTATGAATTTCAGGCTACCTGGGCTATAGAACTGAGATGCCATCCTGACAAAACACCACAAACAAGACCCTGTCTGTTAGGCCAAGTACTCAGTGCCCTTGTACATACGAGGTTATGATACTTACCAGCACTTGCAACAAGCAGCAAGGGCAGTCTTCCTCTTTCTATGTCATCTTTGATCAGTTTCTCAAGAAAGGCAATGTCCTAGGACCAACAAACAAACCACAGAAATGTGAGCCAATCAGTTTTGAAAAATTACAACTGTATTTGTGGTGTGTACACATGCACATGTGCCTGTGTACGGATACCAGAGCACATATGTGCCCAAGTCCACCTCAGGGTTGTTCCTCAAGAGCCATTTAGCTTGTTTTTTGAGACAGAGTATGTCTCTGAACCTAGGCTGATCAGCAAGGTTCATGGATTAACCTGACATCACCTCCCCAGCAATAGGATTACAAGCATGAGCTACTATGCCTGGCCTGAATTCTGGTTGTTGTTTGGAGACAGTGTCTCACCATGTAACTCTAGCTGGTCTGAAACTTGCTATGTAGACCAGGCTGGCTTTGAACTCATGGAGATCCATCTGCCCTGCTGCTCAAGTGCTGGGATTAAGAGTACTAGGATTAAAGACATGTGCCACCACACCGGCTAAATTCCTCATTTTTAAAACCCACAACTACACTATTAGTGAATTTTTTCCGAAGTGAATTCTGGGGATTAAACTCAGGTCCTCATGTCTTCTCAAGAAGCACTTTACTAATTAAGCCATTTCCCCACCCACTCAGAAGGCTCATGTAGCCCAGGCTGTCCTTGAAGTCCTCACTCTGCTTCAACCCTCTCATGGTGTACACCATATGTTTGGTTTTATGAGGTACTGTAGCTCAAACCAGGGCTCTATGCATGCTAGGAAGCACTCCACCTAAGCTAATGCCCAGTGAAAAATTATGAATCGAAAAGAAAGCACAGATGACTCAAAATTAGTAACTCAAATAAGATTTTTTTTTCATGTTAGGATAACTATTTACTCTTGAATTTCAGACTTAAAACATTAAAATCTATTCAGTCTTACTAATATATATATGTATATATGTATATATATATATATATATGTATGTATATATATATAGTATTGTAAAGCCACTATATGCTACCTGGACAAAATGCACATTAGAAGCACTCAAAAAACAAACAAACAAACATTTGTTTTCTTGTGATTTAGAGAATTTAGAGTTCTGAACTCTATTTTTACTTTATTTGAGGCAAGGCCTCACTGTATAGCCCTGTTGGCCTGGAACTTGCTATGTGAAAATTCACCTGCCTTTGACTCACTGGTGCTGGGATTAAAGGTATGTGCCACCACATCTAACCTGAATTCTTCTGTTTAAAAGACTACTCCTATAATATTAGTAAATGTTCATTTGAATGACATTTACAACCTTTCCATGAAGAGTCTTTTACCTTTCTTTGGTATTACTAGGTGATTTTTTTTCCTATTATTAATATTAAAGATTCCAAAGTATTCCTCCTACAGAAATTTCATAATATTTAAATTTTTATTCTTAACAATTTTTGCTTCCCATAATCATAGACAACAAAATAAGTTTTCTTTATAGGTTAATTAGAATAATTAATAGAGACTAAAGTAAATGCACATTTGCAAGACCAATATTCCTAGTTTTAAACATTCACATTTAAAGAAATACTTTCTCATTCCCATAGAAACATAAGAAAACTATTTTGAAAAGAGAAATGCAGAATCTTAGAGTTTATCCCTTTTCTTCTGCCTTCAGTATCAAGATGTTTATCTTTTGCATGTGTAAAAAATTTATCATAACTCAACCTTAAGATTACATTGAAGGACTTCATTTCAAAATCTATCCATTCACATTATAGGAAGATCACAATTCTGAAGCTAGCCTGGGCTTCCCAGGAAGAGCTCAACAAATAAAAAAATAAAAAAAGATATGCCCACTCAAATCCAGATAGTAGTGATGGCTAGCTAAAACTCTGAGCTTGAAAAAATTTCTATGCTTACTTAGGATGAATGACAATGAAAGGGCTGGGGAGAGCACCTACTCAGCATACAAGGAGCTCAAGTATCAAACAACCCCCTCCCACCACCCCAAAAGAAGCAGGTGATGAAGTAATACATGATTCCTTTAGAGCTACACAGGCTAGCCTTCATTCGAACACGAAAGTACACAATGTATCATAATGGGAAGACTGAAGCAATAAACGGGTAAGCTAATAACTATCTGGAAGCCAGCAAACAACATCAAATAAAAGACATGGTTTCAAAATGCAATTCTATATTACCACAGAAACCCCAAACCAAGAACTCACCATCTGATGCTGGGATCCAAACATAGTGTTACAGGGCACACGACACAAGCAGGGCAGGGGTAAGCCAAGCTGCAAGAGGAATCACCATTTACTTATGACTGAGAGAGACTGAGCAACGAAAACAAGCCACAAATTATTCTTTAAAAACAGAAATCTCAGTGAGGTATAATGGAATGTCTGTTATCTTATTACTGACGCTGGAGATCACAAGTGTGAAGTCAGCCTGGGCTACACAGTGAGACTCCTACCTTTAAGATAATAAACAAAACAAAACAAAAAACTCCCCTCAAGAATTCAAGTTTATAAATACATCATGTTAAAGGACATTTGGAAAGTTAGTCTCACTCCCAAAGGTGACTTAACAAATGATTTATAAGAGGACACAATCTAAACTTTTTAAAATGAGTCAAGTAACTACCTTTGACATATTCTAAAGATGCCAAAAAAAAGTCTTTTCCAAACAAAGAAACTACATAAGCACCCCGCATTCTTTTTTTTTTTTTTTTTGGTTTTTCGAGACAGGGTTTCTCTGTGTTGCTTTGTGCCTTTCCTGGAACTCACTTGGTAGTCCAGGCTGGCCTCGAACTCACAGAGATCCGCCTGCCTCTGCCTCCCGAGTGCTGGGATTAAAGGCGTGCGCCACCACTGCCCGGGAGCACCCTGCATTCTAAGGTGAGGAGGATGATTGGGATTCTTTCCCCAGTTGTTCAGAGAACAGGGTCTTATTTATGGGTTCTCCTACCCTTAAAAAGTAATAAATACGGATTAGAAGAAGTATATTGCTTAAAAGAAGCAAAATCAATGCCATGGATGGAGAAAATTGTCAAATTAGCTTTACATTTTTAATGTTTAGTTTCCAAACACAGGAGGTTTGTAGTTTTAGGAACTGTAAATAGGTATAGCACAGAGTGGTTCATTCACACATTACCTCTAGAAAGGACTTCTTGTGGCACTTTTTCCTTTGGCAGTGCCAGAGATTGAACCCAGGGTTTATTCATGCTAGGCAAATGCTCTGCTACTGAGCTACACTTCATCCCTTACTTAAAGTATTAAAAAAAAAAAGGAAAATAAAGATTCATTTCAAAAGCGAATCCTGAAATCCTAGCACTTGGGAGGCTGAAGAAAGAGGATGGCCAGTTCAGAGCCACCCTAAGCTACAAAATGAGTTTGATACCAGCCTGGGCTACACTGATGGTAAGATCTCATCTGAAAAAAATAAACTGGGTATGGTGGCTCACATTTGGTCAATCCTCCTGCCTCTACTTTCCAAGCTCTAGAATTATAGGTGTAGCACCAACCAGCCCAGTCAGACTCTGTCTTAAAAAGAGCTAAGGTAGAGGCATGGGTGAGTACAAGAAGAGAACTTGACTTGCATGGAAACAGTTGGGGTTCAATTCACAGTACCACCAACAGAATGAAAACAAACATCTTAAGATACCTCCTGTAAGCTACCAATCTATCACCGTTATCGGTTACATATATAGCCTTCTGAACATTTTGTAGCTATACTATAAATACATGATTTTAATAAATCTGGTTTTCTAGGCATAAAAACTTGAAAGACCACTAAAACATGATATACTCCTGTTATAAAAGCAACTAAGCCCAAAAGAACCATGTAAGTGCATCTACATCCCTTCTGATAGAGTATAGGACAAAATAAAGTACTCTTTGTCTCTGGTACAGAAATGCATCTATTACATACCATTTCTAAATTCAATAACATTTTTTTTTATTTCTTTGTGTAGTCCTGGCTGTCCTGGAACTCACTCTGTAGACCAGGCTGGCCTTGAACTCACAGAGATCTACCTGCCTCTGCGTCCAGATTGCTGGGATTAAAGGTGTGTGCTACCACTGCCGGGTTAATAACATTTATTTTGAGATATAGCAACACTATGCAGTCTAAGCTGGTGGAATTTTTCTTTTCTTTTCTTTTTTCTTTTTTAATTTTTTGTATTGGTGGGGCATATGCCACAGTAGTCAGAGGACAACTTTAGAGAGTCAATTCTCTCCTTTTCCTTGCTGAAGCAACATCTCTTTTCTGTTTTGTGTCATGCTACATACTCCAAGATAATTGGCCTGTGAGCCTCTGGGCAATTCTCCTGTCTCCAGACCCCATCTCACCCTGGGAGTGCTGGGATTACAGAAGTATGTCAGTGTATCAGTTGTCTTCTATGGGTTCTAGTGAATAAGCCATCCTGCCAGCCCACAGTGCCGCACTCTTTGTATAATAACAAAAAAAACATACAAAAAGATATTTTTTTCAACTCGATACAAACAGCAGCTGGAGAAATGTGTCTACATATTTTAAATGTCTAAAAAATTGAGGGGCTTGAGAGATGGCTCAGTGTTTGGTTTCCAGCATCCACACCAGGTAGCTTATAACCATCTGCAACTCAGCTCCAGACCTCCATAGACACCAGTATACATGTGACATACACTTATAGACACACATACATAAATAAAATTGTCTTTTTTAAAAAGTTTAAAAGGTTGAGTGGTGGTGGTGCACGCCTTTAATCCTAGCACTTGAGGGGCAGAGGCAGGCGGACCTCTGTGAGTTCAGGCCAGCCTGGTCTACAGAGTGAATTCTAAGACAGTCAGGACTGTTACATAGAGAAATCCTGTCTCAAAATACCAAAAAAAAAAAAAAAAAAAAAAAAAGAACAAAACAAAAATTATAAAGCATTGGGGCTACAGGTGAAGGTCAGTGTGTACAGCCCCTACTTAGCATGTGTGAAGCCTTGGGTTTGAGCTCTAGCAGTACAAACCAAAAGCAAACCACTTGGCAGCTTCTTTAAAACATCTGTCTTTAGGGGTTAGAGCAATGGCTCAGGTGTGAAGAGCACTTGCTGATCTGCGTTTGGTTCCCGACAGCCACACTGAAATGTTCACAATCACCTGTAACACCAATTCCAGGGCATGGGAGACCCTCTTCTGGTCTCTGTGGGAACCTGCATAAATATAATGCAGATACAAATGTGCAAGCATACACACATACACACAAATAAAAATAAAATAGTATGTATTTATCTTTGGGACTGGGGAGATGGCTTACAGGTAAACATTTGCTACACAAGAGTAAGGACTACAGTTTGAATCCCCAGAAACCTATGTAAATTCGAGGTGAGAGTAGTCATCCACTTGTAATTCTAGTCCTGGAAGGCAGAGACAAGGGATCTGCAGAGCAGGCTCTGGTTTTGACCAAAAGACTCTGACTCCATGAATGAGATGAAAGAATTTTGAGGATGACTCCTGACATCAACCCTGGGCCTCCATGAACACATATGTACCTACTGACACAGACATAAAGACAGGAACACATATGCACATGAAAAAATGGAGTTCCAGGAAAGGCGCAAAGCTACACAGAGAAACCCTGTCTCGAAAAACCAAAAAAAAAAAACCTGTTTTTTACATTACCTGATTACAAAGGTATTGGCCCAGACCAGGTCTAGCAGCAGCACTAAGATATATGACAGGTTTTTTGTTATGTAACACGTCGAATCCATCCACTACGAAGTCTTCATAGCGAGAATGAATGGCAAGCCTACAGATCTTAGCAAGTCCTTCCCTCTCTTCCTCATGGAAATAAGCACATCCATTTTCATACCTATTAAGAGATCTTATATGTTAATGTATTCTTTTTAATTTTTAAAAAGATTTTATTTTTATTTTATGTGTGTTTGCCTGCATGTATATGTGTGCACCACATGTGTGCAATGCCCAAAGAGGCCAGAAGAGTCATTGGATCCCCAGAATTGGAATTACAGATGGTTGTGAACAGTCATATGGATGCTGGGAATCAAACCTAGGTTTTTTTAGAAGAACAGCCAGTGCTCTTCACTGATCAGCCACCTCTCCAGCTGCATATTAATATACTCCTATTTCTAGTTAATTCTGACTTTTTTCAGTAGTATAAAATCATGAAAGCAATTCTTTTCTCATAGACACTATACAAGGCAGAGGAGACACAATGTCTGGCTACTCACTATAGTGCAGGTATAAAGGAAAGAAACAAAGACTCATCATCCACACCTAACTCCAGAAATAAAAGGAGTAGAAATGATGGAACAAAGACTAAAGTCCCCAGAAATAATGAGCCTAGAGACAAGGGCTCTTGCTTGTTCCACATGGAGGCTAATGCTACAGGCTGACATGGTTGTTAGAGTTTCAGCACTAAGACATCTGAAATAAATGAAGCATTAACGTGATCATTTAATCCTCAAATGAAATAGCTATTTATACTCTCCCCACTTAATACAAGGAGAGGTTAGGCAACCCTCTTAGGCATGGAGAGGTTAAGCAACCCTTCCAAAGAAGAGTCAAATCCATATGTAGCACCACAAAAACATTACTCACAAGCCACATCTGATTCTGAGTCATCTTTAGCCACTTGTCAGAACAGCTGGAAAGGTAGCTGGTCTGTTAAGAGTACTGGCTGCTCTTCCAGAGAATCTGGGCTTAGTTCCCAGCACCTACATGACAGCTCATAACTATCTGTAACTCTAGTTTCAGGGAATTTGATGCCCTCTTTTGGCCTCCTTGGGCACTGTACACATGTGATGCATATCCATACAGGCAGTCAAAATACTCATACATGTTAAACAACAACAACAATAACAACAACAAAAAAGTAGAGGTGGGCATTGTGATGCATGCCTTAACCCCAGCACTTGGGAGGAAGAGGTAGGCAGATCTCCGTGAGTTTGAGGCCAGCTTGGTTTATATAGCAAGTTCCAGAACAGTCAGGCTACAAAGAGACCCTGTCACAAATAAACAAGCAAACCTAAGATTAAATAAACAAACACAATCCCTCATAATGTCTTTACCAGTAAATAAACGAATCCTTAAAAAAACATCTGCAACAAAACCCAGCTCATAACATCTTTACCTGAAAATCCGGCGTAGCCACAAGGTAGTGTCTGAAAGTATCCTGGTTGTAAGTTTTCTCAGCTTCTCTTTGTCCAAAGTTGAAATATAAGCACCCAGACTGTGACCCAACAAAGCCATGTGACCTTGTTCTCCAATATTCTGGATTCTGTTGATCAAAATCATTAGAGTACTAAGAACTGATCATCACCAAACCATAGAAAAAGAAACAAAATTTAAACAGTGTTTCACAGAAATTTGGAAGATTTTCAATTCATTTCATGTCCTACAGAGAAATTCAGAAAAAAATGTGTATGAGGTGCTGAAAGTTTGGGAAGAAAAATACTTTTAAAATTGAGCCCTAAAAGATAAATGTCCTTCTCTTTACTGACAACACAAACTACTCTTAAATTCTCTTAAACTATAAATATCAGCCTTAAGAACTATGGAGGGGGGCTGGAGAGATGGCTCAGGAGTTTAAGAGCACTAGCTACTGCTGTAGAGGACCCAGGTTCTGGTCCCAAATCCCACATGGTGGGTCACAACCATCTGTAATTCCTGTCCCAAGGGATCTTAAACACTCTTCTAGCCTCCAAAGGCATCAGGCATACAAGTGGTGCACAGACATACATGCAGGTAAAACATCCATACACATAAGATAATGATGATGAGGATGAGCTGCAGAGGAAGGGTGATGTAGCTCAGCTGTAGGGTGCTAGCCTACATGGACACCTACACATATGTAGCATACACTCATACAGACACATATACATAAATAATTTTTTAAGTCTTTAAAAAGGTCCATTTTTTTTTAACAACTTTTAAAAAAAGTTCTGAGGCTTGAACTTGAGGCTCCACGCATGCGAGGGAAGTGTTCTACTACTGTACACCCCCAGTCTCCAGTAAGTCTTAAAACATACAAAAAGACATAATCTAGTTCATAAGAAAAATATTATGCTGAAATATCTCACCTTATATTTCTCACTCAATTATCAAAGATCCTTAAGTTTGCTAACATCACTACAGCAAAGGTGTGGGGAAAGTATCCTCACACACTGCTGGTGAGCCTCTGGACTGGCTTATCTCCTAGGAGCACTGGGCTCTATCAAATTCAAAATGCACATGTGCATTATCTAACCCAGCATCCCACTTCCATGACTTACTCCTCAAACACATTGCCACTGCAAGAAATGGCATATGCTTAAAGTTATGGCGCAGCAATGTTTGTATCAGTGAAATAGGAACATGACACAAAATTCTATTCTATTCATCTATTCCAAGAAAAATAAAGTTGCTCTTAACAAAGAGAGTTCCTTGTATGACATGTGATGAACTCCAAGTCCTAAGTGAAAAAAAGAATCAGGACACATAGATAGTATTTAAGTACTGGATAGGGTGTATATGACTGTTTTGCTTGTATACACAAACACATAAAATATCTGTGGAAGAATAATAAACTGGTCATCATCTATAGCCATGAAAGAGAACCAGGTAGGGAGGGCTATGTGTGTGTTTCAGTACTGGGAATTGAACTCAGGGCACATACATGCTACCACAGCCTAGAGAACTATTTTTGTATACCCTTTATCTTCTCAATTTTATTCTGCCTTGTTTCTTGTTATGTAGCCCTACAGTGGCTTCAAACTTGTGACCCCCTTGCTTCTGCCTCCAGAATGCTAGGATTACAGGTGTGTACCACCATGCCTAGTTTATCTTCTGCCTTTTGAACAAGGAGAATATATTACTGATAGCAAAAAAAAAAAAATTGAAGACGAAGTGAAGATATATTTATTTAAATATACTGGGCAGATGAATAAATAAATAAAGCAAAAGGCGATTCACAGACAATGAAAGCTAATCAATTTAACTGTAATAATTCTTAGCAAGCTAAAGAAAAAATAAAAAAAGCACATGGCACCTCAGTCCTTCCAGTGGCTCTTCATAAGACCTAATACCATAAAAAAAGTCAGGATTTACTTTTAGAATATAAAAATATCAATATAATTTTTTGTTGTTTTTTTGAGACAGGTTTTCTCTGTGTAACAGTCCTGCCTATCCTGGAACTAACTTTGTAGACCAGGCTGGCCTTGAACTCACAGAGATCCACCTGCCTCTGCCTGCCTTCCAAGTGCTGGGATTAAAGGCATACACCATTACCAGCCGGCCTCAATATAACTTTTAATGAAATTGTTACTCAATGAAGCTTCTTCCTTGAGCCACTCAAGAACAGACTTTTTTTTTTTTTTTTTTTTTTTTTTTTTTTTTTTTTTAAGACAAGGTTTCTCTGTGTAGCCCTGGCTGTCCTGGAACTTGCTCTGTAGACCAGGATGGCCTCGAACTCACAGATCCGCCTGCTTCTGCTTCCCAAGTGCTGGGATTAAAGACATGTGCCACCACCGCCCAGCTAAGAACGAACTTTCAAAGATAAACTGCCAATATTCCTCCATTACCGGGTGCTCTGGGGCTCCTCATCTTCATCTCCGTGCATCAGATTTTGAACTAACTGGAGGATGCTCACCATATCTTGCCCACTGAAGAACAAAAAGGGTTGGTGGGTGGAAAGAACGCATATGCCCCTCCCCTCCATCTTCCAACCATTTCTCTCATTCAAACTAACTTGAAGATGTTTTTTGTTTTTGTTTCCTTTTTAAACATTTGGTAGCTAGCTACAAGAAAAAGAATGTTTAGAGACAGTTTATACATTTTCAAAAACATTCAAATTATATAACTTTACTTATTCTTTGACCCAAATATAAGTTTGATTTTTGAAAATATTTCCAGTCTTGCTCTAGCTGTATTTCTATAATGGATCATTTCATTCTTGAAAAGCAGAGAATATTTAATAAGTATAAGAGCCAGTCTTTGTAAGATGCTCTAGGCCATAAGCCAACAAAAATTCTCTATTGATAAGACTCTGGAGTCTTGTCCACTTGAACCAATAGCCTTAAACATGTAATCATTTGTTTCCAACCCTTATGCCAGTTGGAAAATTTGAGATCTGCTTAGAGTATAAATAGATACCAAACAGAGTATAAATAGATAGACTGACTTCTATCCAAGATATGCTATTAACTGCTCATTATATGAGATGGAGACAGGAGAAAAATGCCAGTGACTAAAATGGTATGAAATGGCAAGGCAATTTAGGGTTCGTAAGATGTAAAAATACTCTATAAGCATATTATTGATAACCATTTTCTTCTTAAAAAAGGAAGCACTGGATGGATATAGTGGGGAGTGGTAGAGAACTTGCCTAGCATGTGTGAATTCTAGGTTCAAACCGAGACCACAAACACAGAAGTAAGAAATAAAAGCACCACCATCAAAACACTGCTCCAAACCCATCTCCCCAAGGTGCTAACCTGAAATGAAATGCTCTGATCCTTTAACAGTGCAGAGGGAAGGGAAGGGGAAGGAAGCTCAGGCTCACTTGGCTGCTATCCTTGTGACCTTGAGTGAATGATCCAAAGTGGCTGAACCCAAGCATTATAGATCAGAGAGGAGATAATCAGACAGTGCCTGTAAAGCACTCACTAGCTCCAAATACTAGACTTTAGCATTATTAAATAAAGATAGATACTTCTGACCACTATTAACAGTGTTTTTAATGTGCTGCCAGTCTGAGAATTCTTAGGAGATCTAGAGAAACTTTTGTGTAATTAGGAGAATAAACAAGTCCTTGTCCCTTCACACCTGGGATAGGAGACAGGATCTATTTCCTATTCTGAGTGGTGAAAGCTCTACAGGACTTCAAATCAGCAGGATCCATGCTACAAGCTGGAATGACTGAAAACATTGTATCTGGGAGTGTTGGGCATGATATTTGCTGTATGGTGTGATACTTCCTTAATGCTTTCTCTTGTAATCTTGTACAACTTATAATCAGGTCAAAGAACAATTTAAGGGAGTTGTACTGTTGACCTAAGTACAGTTTCCTGGTTATAAAAGAAAAATCGTTTGTCTCAAGGAAGCTGGACTGGGACTTTCCTTGCAGACCGACTGCTAGCATCCTGTGAAAACGACAGCCAGCTACTTCTTTTTCACTAGTAGTTCAAACCACAGGACTTGATAAATTTGCTTCAGCTGCAAACAAATTAATCATTCCAGCAATAATTAAAGTTGACATTTTCCTTTCATTTACTATATTATGGGTTTTTCATTTTTTGTTTTGTTTTTGAGACAAGATCTCTTTATGTAGCCCTGGCTGTCCTGGAACTCCCTATGTAGACAAGGCTGGCCTTGAACTGAGAGATCTGCCTGCCTCTGTCTTCTGGGTGCTGGGATTAAAGACATACACCACTATGCCTGGCTCATTTACTATATTATAAAAATTATAAACTATACCAAGTTAAAATATCTCTCATAATAAAACTCAGTCTACAAGAGAGATTACAGGTTTCAAGAATGAACTAGTTTGCTATCCCAGTTATAGCTATGAATTCATGAATGGCTTTTGATCGTGGGTTATAGTTCTGAAAAGAAGCCAGGTATGGTAGGACATGCCTGTAATCTAAATACTCAGAAGGCTGAGGCCACCAGTTGAAGATTGCCACCTGTTGAAGGCAAGCCAATGAACAAAAAAGTTCTGAGAGAGAACAAAGCTAGTAAGTTCACTATTATCACCAACCAGCCAGTTTTCTAATGTTCTACTGAGTAACTACTTAAATTATCTTGGTACTCATTCAAAATAAACTTAGTAAAATTTTGGGTTAAGAAAAAATAAATATATCCTAACTAAAGGTATTGATCCTCATTGCCACCTACCTGCCCTGGAGTGGCCCTGGAATATCCTCTGATACTGGCTTCTTTCCATTTTCCTCCTCTATTCTTCTGGTTTAAAGGAAAGAAAGAGTTGACTATGTTTTAACCAATTTCTAACATATGAACATGCAAACACGTGACTTTATGCAGAACATTCAGTGACTGATGAATGATTTTAAACACATTCATTTCATCTCCCTAGACCCCAGATATACTTAAAAGGAAAAGAATGTAAAAACAACCGCTTTGTCAGTTGACACCTTATGTAACTGAATCTATACTAAGAAGTATTTAAATACTCAAATCAACACATTCCATGGCAGAACTAAAAGGTCCTTCCCAAAATTTCAAAATCCTTTCATTGCAAAGCACCTTCTACCCAATACCTACAGCTTTAAAGGCAGCAGAATCTGACATCCTAGAGATAGAGATATCTTTAACAGGAAGAAACCAGAACCACCAGATTCAAAACTGGCTGGACACATCAACAGGGCAGCCTCTATCCTACATGCTCACCTTTGACTGTTCTCCAGCATCCGCATCGCCTCCTTCAGGTTCCTTCCCATTTCAGCTAATGTAGGGTCTGCTATCTAAGAAATGAACCAAAAAAAGGCAAAATTTTAACATTCCTCTATTACTACTTTTTATTTATTCTAAAAACAAACTTTTTCTGTAGCCTAGGCTATCCTAGAACTCATGGCAATTCTCCTGCCTCAGTCTTTCTCTCTAGTGCTAGAATTACAGGCATGAGCTACCACATCTGACTTTATCTATTACTTCTGTTATATAATTCGTTTAGACAAATCAAATGCAAGTCCACTTCCCTTGGATTTACTATAAAATGCATAGATTTATTGTACCACACAAAAGTATAGCACACAAAGTATTAGTTCCCCAGCCCTAATCTCTTAGTGGAACCCATTTTCATTTTACATACACCTCTGTAGCTTGTTGTTGCCCACTTTACAGTAAATATTGCCTCAGTCAACAAGCCTCCTTCATTCTTCTAGTAGTTACACCTTACTCCATTTGTTGAATATACCACACATAAAATTTAACTAGTCCTAAATTAATTGACCCTGAAGTCATTCCCATCATTCCCATTTTCTATCTTAAATATATATATATATATATGTATATATATATACATATATATATATATATAGTATACTATTCATTTTTATCATTGCAGTAGTCTAAAAATCATCTTACCTATTCCCTGTTGATAAGACCCTGGTGTCTATGAATGTTATATTATATGGCAGTCTTTATAAATGTGATTTAAGTTAAAGATCTTGAGATGGTTAGAAAACCTTTACTATCCAGATGAATCTACAATGTAATAAAATATATCTTCTTTATGATAAAGACAGAAAGAAACACACATATGCACATATATACAAAGATTACATGAAAAGTGAATAGAAAAACTTTGAAGATTTGGGCTTTAAAAACTAATGACATGACCCTATGAACCACAGTGCTGATCAACATGGCACTAATCCTAAGGGTGCAACAGTGGCAGTAACAGCATGATGGTAACCAACAGCTGTCTAACTAGACATAAGGCCTGCTCAACAGGAGGGAAATCATGCCAGCTACTAGAAACCTAGCTAACCACCTGGGGCTAGTAAGGTCATCGATCTTAGAGGAGATCCTACTACTGCCTCCTTACTAAACCAACATAACTGCATTCTAAATATCACACAGATCTCTTACAGCTCAGGGATATCCCATAGCTCTTATCCCTCATCAAAGAAACTTCTCTTTTCAATAGAAAGATACATTAGAGAAAAACAAAATGAATCAAAATACAGAGAATAAGTGATCTGGGGTCCAGGCCCAACCAATACATCTATAACACAACTCCCACACATAAGGTTCAGGAAACATGGAGGAAAGGGGTGCCAGAGGACCAGAAAGTTGCTATGACATCGTGTCTCCTAAAGATGACAGGGAAGCTTCACTCATGATATCACAACAATATGGTTTCCTAAACAAGACCTGAAGAAGTACAACAGCAATAAACATGCTAAATCTTATAGGGCTCCACCCACATACAAAGAAGTACAGGCAACTAAGGAATCCTGAGAGTACAAGAAATAGTTCTCCCCAGGGATGAGCCCCAGTTGGTTATCTATTACCAAGTGGTCAGCTCTGAAATCACAAATACATAAATTACACTAAATAGACTGAGCAGGTGGTATAGGTAGTACTAATAACATGGAAAGCAAGAAATGACTGGAAACCAAGAAAGGGGGGAATGCTAGTTTTCCTTTGACTTAAACAATGATTTCTGTTGTGTTCTAAATAATTACAACCATATTGCAGATAAAGGGCCATGATTTCCAGGGGGAATGGAGAGAGGAACATGGGAGGGGTTGGAGGGAGGAAAGCTAAGGGAAAAAATGATGCAATTTTAATTTTCAAAAAAGATTAATTAAAAAATGACATGGTCACAAGCTGAAGGATAGTAACACCCATTAGAATTAGAATGCCCCTTCTTGTGAGTTCAGCTCTGGTAATCTTATGTAGACCAGGGATAGGAATTTCAAACTTCTGGCCCACAAAACTGGAATTCAAGCTGGGTAGTAGTGGTACATGCCTTTTATCCCAACACTAGGAGGCAGAGTCAGGTCTGTGAGTTTGAGGCCAGCTTGGTTGACAGAGCAAGTTCCAGGACAGCCAAAGCTGCACAGAGAAACCTTGTCTCAACAAACAAACAAACCAAAAAAAAAAAAAAAAAAAAAAAAAAAAAAATCCCCCAAAAGAACCCCAAACCAAACCAACTAAACAAAAAAACCCTGGAACTCAAAATCAGTCTCCCTCTTTTTCTTCCTCCCCACTTCCTTACCCTCACCCTACCCTGATTTTTTTGGGAGACAGCTTCTTTCTACATTACCCAGGCTGGCATCACAACTTTCAATCCTGCCTCAGCCCCCCAGAGTAACTGGAAACAGGCACGTACAGGTCCAGCTTCACTTCATGTATATTACACTACTAAGTTTGTGATTTGTTCCAGCAGCCACAGGAAACTAATCTGCCCATAAGCCAGAAGATGATGGTTCTGTCTAGAAAAAGCTAAGTGGTGGCCTCTAGAACTTGCAGTAGGAAGATGACCCTCAGTCAGAGAGGGCATTTATGTTTGTTCCCTTCTGTTCCTTTTGAATTGTGTGCCATATGTATACATTTATCTCCCTCCAAAAAGAAATGAAACGAAAGTATTTTTAATTCTTAAAACATTTAAATTTATTTTAATTATGCCTTATTTATGGCAATTAAAAAATTTTAATTAGCCGGGCAGTGGTGGCGCACGCCTTTAATCCCAGCACTCGGGAGGCAGAGGCAGGTGGATCTCTGTGAGTTCGAGGCCAGCCTGGGCTACCAAGTGAGTTCCAGGAAAGGCGCAAAGCTACACAGAGAAACCCTGTCTTGAAAAACCAAAAAAAAAAAAAAAAAAAAAAAAAAATTTTAATTAAAATACAATTACATAACTTTGCCACTCCCTCCAATCCCCCCATTGTGCCCACTTCTCCCTATGCACCTCAAATTCAAAGCCTCTTTTTTGTACTTATTATTGTTACATATATATATTTCAATTAAATATATAAATTTAATCTGCTGAGTCCAAGATTTATTTTATTATTTAGTTATGTGTGAGTGTACATATTATATGTATATGTGTGCCCAAAGTCCAGAATAGGGAATTAAATCCCCCAGAGCTGGACTTAAAGGTAATTGTGAGCCACTTGATATGGGTACTGGGAACAGAACTCAGGTCCTCTCTCCATCTCTCCAGCCCCAAATTATTAATTCTTATAGAATTAAAACATACACAAGGGCCTGTGAGATGACTCAGCAGTTAAAGGTACTTTCTACCAAGGCTGATGACATAAATTGGCTCTCTAGCACACACATGATGAAGGAAAGAACCAACCTAAGTTGTCTTCTGATCTACACACACACACACACACACACACACACACACACACACACACACACACACAGAGAGTAATTAATAATAACCTCCCCCCACATCTCTCTTTCTTCTTAATCTCCATAGTACTTTTAGGGAAAAAAGTCTTGCTGCCCCAACTGCTATGAGTTGTTTTGTACTTACAGAAACTCCTCTGTCAATGCAGTTCTTGAAGGACTTGCATTTCTCTTCATACTGCTTCATGTACCTACACATCTTCCACAGCAAGTCTGCAATATTATCTATTACATTTAGTAGCCCTACTTTAGCTCCTCAAATCATTCAAGAAGTTCTATTCAATTTACCAATATCAGAATCATAAATTGTTAAATTTTAGATAAGACATTAGGAGTCTAGTTTGCAGTTCCTGTAAGCCTTACAACAAATGGGAAGGAGGCCAGGTATATGTGCAACCCCAGAACTAGGGAAGCTGGGACAGGAGGATTACCTTGAGTTACAGGATAGCTTGAGTTATAAAGTGAGACACCATCTTAAATAAACAACTAACCAGAGATGGCTCAGTAGATAAGACACGTGCATGGCAAGTGTGAAGACCCAAGTTTGAATTCCCAGAACTCGTATAAAGTCAGACATAGCTGTGAATCTGTAATCTCCCTGTTCCTATAGCAAAATGGGAGATAGAAAAAGGAGAATACCCAGAAGTTTGCAGGCCAGCTAGCCTAGCATATGTCTTGTCTCAAAGTGGAAAGTGAAGACCAACACCCAAGCTGTTCTCTGCTCTCACATGCACACACTTGTACTCACATACATGAATGCATGAACACGAATCTCTATCTCACACACACTGACACAGACACACATATAAAATCAACCGTCAATCTCTCAAGAAGAATTTGGGGAAGATCTACATAAAATTGGGGCTTCTAGTGCCTTTTTTCTAGTGCCTATTAGGTAGATCAGCTTTGGTTTACACAAAGGATATTAGGTCAAATTTCATTCATAAAACTGTCATTAGAAAGAAAAAAAGTGTATCATGAAAATATCTGACTCTAGCTTAACATTTTAGAGGTGAAGAAATTAAGTCTTGGAGATGTGATTTGCTGAAGACATGTGCTAGAACCCTGGGTTCTTTATTCCCCTTTCTGGCCTCTATAACACAAGCTGGCTTCTAGGAAGGTTTACAAAGTAATCCTGTATCTGCTTTATTTTTCTCTCTCCTCCTCCTCCTCCTCCTCCTCCTCCTCCTCCTCCTCCTGCTCCTCCTCCTCCTTTCTCTCTCTCTCTCTCTCTCTCTCTCTCTCTCTCTCTCTCTCCCCCCCTCCCCCTCTCTTCCTATCTCTCTCTCTCTCTCTCTCTCTCCCTCCCCCTCCAGGATCTCATTATGTAGCTGTGGCTGGACTGGAACTTACTATGGAGACCAGGCTGGCCTCAAACCCTGAGGTCTGTTCGCTTCTACCTTCTACCAGGTTATCTGTTTTTGATGTTTAAATATAATTTAAAAACATTTTCAAAACAGATGTTTTAAATAAAATCCACAACTTAAATATAACTATGAAATGGGTTAGATTTAAAAGGGTCTCAGCAATCTGATTATTAATAGGAAGTGGAAAAGATAATAGTCAAGAGAATTTATCTTAACTCCTATGTGTCCCA